GACCATGAACCAACCAACAGATAAGATTTTGTGACTATTTTAGAGTTTTCAGCTGTCAGCGAGAGGTGTTATCCTCTTCAAAGGAAAAGAGTGTGAACCCTTAATGTGGAGACAGCTGGATTTGTTTGGATTGTTGTTCCATTCACTTTCTTATCTCTAATCATTTATGCAGCGGACACCTTCAACTTGTGACCTGTTTGTGTTAGACCAACTGTCCTCTTGAATTTATTAATCTACAAGTCGGCCTGCACCATATCTATTTCTAATCATATTTTGAGCTTCATCTGAGGTTAATAAGACTTTATCACTATTAAGCCTTTGGTTCAGATAAACTGTTGACCTACCTTTCCTAGTTGCTTGTCAGTGTTGGTCACAGAGGGACAGAACCCTGAAAAAAGGAGCATTTAATAGTATACAGAAATGGAAAATAATCCCAAATGAAGGGTAGTATGTGAGTTTTGGAAATGCCTATTATTTGGTTTTTGATTTGTCCATGTTGTACATGAGCTGAAAACATGTGGCATATATTGAGAGGTATATGTGTTGGAATGACGCTCATTCACGCTAAAATGTGTACATTTAAATGCCAATAAGCTGCAATAAACCTCAATAATTCCTATGTTAAAAGGGATTGATGGGCCGTGTATTTTCTTGAATAACCCAATAACCTCATTATGACGCCACATTTTACAGGTACCTTGGCATATACACACCTCATATTCACATTGTAACATTTAAAGTGAAATTACATGTTTCACAAAGCTCATCACTTACAAATACAACTGCAGATACATGAATATGTCATGACGGGATGCTGCGTTATTAACGTTTATATGTTTAAATCAATGCTTAAGTGATCAATGCTCAAAATCACAAGAGCCAGTCACGTTTCTTTACTACGAAGCATGACGTTACAGGTTACGTTAAAGACTAAAGTGTTTTCTGGAACATGACGCGTCCTTTTCTGGACGATCCTGTTGATGAAGAAGCGCTTTTACTTCGCAGGGTGTTAAACACGTCGGGAGAGAATACTGAGGCCCGATTAGATATATCGTCATTTCCAGATAACTTGTTTGAACGCTATCGTTTTTCTTCACAGTCCATCAAATATGTCCATGACCTCACCTGTCCTCATAGAAGTAACGTCCCCCATCGTGGACGTGCATTACTTGTATGTATACATGTATTACTTTTTCTTCAAACGGCAGTTTCCTTTTCAACATTATAATATTAGTAAAGCTGCTGCATGCAGAGCCGTGAGAAACGTTTTTCTAACCTTTTTGTTCCCTGGACACAAACCAGTGAGACATTAAAGAGGAGTTCCACAGGACGCACCTGAATAAAACACATTATAGGTTCAACACCACTGAACCAGTTTTTACAAGTGATATTGTTCTTGTGATTAAATATGAGCATGTGTGTGTATTTCCAGCCTGTGTGTACTGCATTCTAACAAGCAGTGTAAAAATGTTATTTTCCCACTGGGAATTAGTAAAACGTATGGATTATGATAGTGTGTACATTAAATATTAACGGACAACACCATATTGGAACCTACAGTAATTTTCTCCCACAAAGTTTCTCTGTCTTTTGCTGCAGTAGCCGTGTTACTTTCTTTTCTAATTACGGGTTCATACTCGTCGTTTGTTGCATTAATATTCGCAGCTCAATAGGGGTGAATATATTGTTTGTGGTGGTTGCCATGGTAACTCATAGTATCATCGCTCAACTATGAGTCAACCTACTCCGAGTTGATTGAACCAACTCTGAAACCAGAAACTCAGAGGTTTCCATCTCAGGGTAAATCAACGCAGAGTTTAGGGTTTGACTCAGAGTTTGTTAAACCTCCTACTTGAAACGGACCCCTGGTGTGTTGACTCGATTCTGGTTCCCTCATTCTGACCCCTTATTGTCCTGATGTTCTCCCTCTATTCTCCCTCTAACTGGTATGTTGACGCTAGTCTAACTGGCTGTTCTGGTCGGTTGTCCCTATCTCGCTGGCCTTCCCGTTCTGAGACCTTTGTCTCACCGCTGATGTCTCCGCACTGTCTTGTTCTAAACCTTTGGACTCCTGTCTTTCCTTATCTATTCAACCTTGCCTGCTTGGCATCTCCCTATATCTGTCTACGGGCCTCTTTCTAGCTTCTCCTTTTCCTCTGTTAAATTGTAACTCCTACCTGGATATATAACTACAGCTATATCCCTACCTACACAATTCCATAGAAATGATTATAACATGAGTATGTGTTGGACAATAAGAAACATTTTCCCTCAACACTATATAATAAAAAGAAACGATAGGACGATAGAAACAGCCTGGCTCAGGGTGACAAATGACCTGCTGATGACAGCCGATGCTGGATCCCCCTCACTCCTCATCCTTCTGGACCTGGCTGCTGCACTTGACACAGTGGATCCCACCATCCTGCTGGAGTGCGTCCACACCACCATTGGACTATCAGACTCTGCATTCAAGTGATTTCATACCTACCTTTCTGGCAGAACTGAATACGTCTCACTGGGAAGATGCAAGACCAGACTGCTGTCTGTCTCCTGTGGTGTTCCGCAAGGGTCGGTCCTTGGCCCCATCCTCTTCATCACCTACATGCTCCCCTCGGCCGTGTCATCGGCAAACATGGAATGTCCTTTCATGTTATGCTGACGACACACAGCTCCACATCAAGGCTGCAACCAGGCCCCTCTGCAGCCGTGTCATGTCTCACCGCTTGTCTTGGAGAGATAAAGACGCGGATGAGCAACAACTTTCTCCAGTTGCAAATCCGAAGCCCTTCTTGCCATCATCCTTCATTACCCATCTTTTGCAGACGTTTGTGGAGATCTCCCTCCATGAATCAGAGGCCATCCGCGCGTCCTTATAGTCCACCAATGACGGCTTGTATAAGTGCTCATATTACGCATTTCTTCCGACAAAAGCTCTTCAATCTGATCCGTTCTCTCGTAAACATTCTTCCTTTTAATAATGGCCGTATTGTGCTATGAAACTGGAAATGTGAGACTCCGTAAAAGACGTAGTTAGCAGACCAATCGCAGCCTTGCGGGCTGCAGGAGGCTTGCGTAGCTTTTGACGCTAGTCTAGAAAACCCCTGCAGTTCGCCTACAGAGCCAACAGGTCTGTGGACGATGCTGTCAACATGGCCCTCCACTACATCCTCCAGCATCTGGACTCCCCAGGAACCTACGCCAGGATCCTGTTTGTGGACTTCAGCTCTGCTTTCAACACCATCATCCCGTCTCTGCTGCAGGACAAACTCTCCCAGCTGCACCGCCCGACTCCACCTGCAAGTGGATCAGAGACTTCCTGTCTGACAGGAAGCAGCATGTGAAAAAGGGGAAACATGTCTCAGCCTCTCGGTCCATCAGCACCGGTTCCCCCCGAGGCTGCGTTCTTTCCCCTCTGCTCTTCTCCCTGTACACCAACAGCTGCACCTCCAGCCACCAGTCCGTCAAGCTCCTGAAGGTTGCGGATGACACCACCCTCATTGGACTGATCTCTGGTGGGGATGAGTCCGCCTACAGGTGGAGTCTGACCATCTGGTGTCCTGGTGCAGTCAGAACAACCTGGAGCTCAACGCTCTAAAGACAGTGGAGATGGTTGTGGATTTCAGGAGGAACAGAGCCCCACCCTCCCCCATCACCCTGTGAGACTCCCCCGTCACCCCCCATCACCCAGGACCTCAAGTGGGAGCTGAACATCAGCTCCAACACAAAGAAGGCTCAGCAGAGGTTGTTCTTCCTGAGGCAGCTGAAGAAATTCAACCTGCCAAAGACGATGATGGTCCACTTCTACACGGCCATCATGGAGTCCGTCCTCTGCTCCTCCATCACCGTCTGGTACGCTGCAGCCACAGCCAAGGACAAGGGCAGGCTGCAGCGTGTCCTCCGCTCTGCAGAGAGGGTGATCGGCTGCAATCTGCCGTCCCTGCAGGACTTGTTCGCTTCCAGGACCCTGAAGCAGCTAAAAAGATGGTAGCCGACCCCTCCCACCCCGGACAAAACCTGTTTGTGCCCCTTCCATCTGGCAGGAGGCTGAGGTCCATCAGGACTAAGACCTCCCGCCACACCAACAGTTTCTTCCCGTCAGCAGTCGGGCTCATCAACAGAGCCGGTCCCCCACTGACTGACTCATCCCACCGGTCACTCCCCTTCACACTGCACACGTCACTTTAACTGCAATTCATCACTCGTCACTTTATCACTTCTTCGCTAGTGCACTTTATTTTTTAACTTTTTAAATATTTTTAATTTTAACTTTATTCTCTTGTTTTATACTAACCCATTGCATTAGCATTTTATTTTATTGTATTACTTGTACACTGCTGTCTTGTTGTCTATTGTTTCTACTGTCGCGCACCAACCGCCAAGTCAAATTCTTCGTATGTTTGACATATTTTGGCAATAAATGTTTCCTGATTCCTGATCCTGAAAAATTGGTCGACACACGCAAGTAGGGGTGAAAAGGCACGAAAGGGACACACAAGGGGCTGTTGCGTATGCGTGTCCTTGCGTTTCTCTCAAGCTCTCAAAACGTAGAAGCATGAAGTAGGCTTTAGAGCCATTTTTGTAATTGTTGGATTGTTAGCTCCACCCCCTACGTGGGGGGAGGTTATGTTTTAATTAGACCAGCTCGGTCACTGGACTCTTATTCAGGGAGACATTTTTTACTCGGTTAAGTTTTAATTTTATTTTTCCCAATGATTTTAGTAGCTCTTTTTAACTACATTTGGCTGATTTTTGTTTTGTCGCACTCTGAGATCCTGTTGATGAAGAGTTATAATTAAAATGTGTTTGGATTTGGATTTGAGCTCTATGAATATTCTGAACTTCAAAGCCCACAGATTACAAAGTAGCCTATTCGGTAAATATCTAGACCTGTGGTATTGATGCCTGGAACTTTCAATATGGACTCACTCCCAATTTAAGACAACAGCTATTGGAATATTGAACAAAACATACACAACAAAAAAATAAATGGCTGAAGGTCCAGACTTTACATTGTGCTTGTTTTATTTATCATACATCAATGCTCTCATAGACTTCAAATCTGTACTGGACACCATTCTCCTCCTGGAGCTCTTCTGGTACTCCTGGAAACCTGAGGGAGAAGACGGCATTACATGTTTTAAATAAAGGAGAAGTGTTTCATCTCACAGCTGTCACACGACTTTGAAACCATTGAAACATTGGACTTTGGTACCATCATTTTAAACGGGTTTGGAATTGCTAATAAGTTGCTGTGGGAACATGTTTTTTTATAATGTATATGGACACAACTTTAAGGGACAATTCAAGTTTATTGAAAGTTGGGTGTTTGTTTTCCTTGATATGGTTGGATGATGAGGCGGACTGTCTAATGTTTGCAGACCAACGACCTGCTTTGACCATCACCTAACTGCACAATAGTTCTCTGGAACAATGAGTGATTATTTGCAATATTTTAAGAACGCTCCCCTTCACATTCATCTCCAACTAAACTGGTTTGGATTATCAGCCTGATCCATTTAAATGGGCTGAACACGCGTGCTGATCTTACTCTGGCAGCAGACGATATCTGTCCGGACAGATTTCCGGGAGGAATGTGTCACACTCAAACTGCTTCAGGATCCGCGTGACAAACAGTCTCCTGGTCCCCGGGCTCTCCAGCAGCTCCTGGGAAGCCCAAAGCAACCAAATCTGAATTACAGGTAGAAGGAAGTGGTCTGTAGGCGCAGGCGTGTGTCCATTCAGCGCATCCCGCAGGGGTTCATCACGGACGCCCGTGATTGCTGCGACCAATCGGACAGTAAAATGGAACACTGGGGGATTATTTAGATGTTATCATTGATCATTTGGAATCTGATATTTAGTTATTCACTAAACAAATAAAGAATGTGGGAGACAAAGGTAGAACTTTTCTCCCTCTCATTGTTTTTTTACATATTTTAGAACATCCCTTGTGAGACTTGTGAGCAGTGGTCGGTCCCTGCAGTACCTTGTACAGAGAGCTGCCCCCTATCACCCAGACCTGGTCCGCCTGCTCTGCCAGCTCCGTGTCGACCAGCCTGAGGGCCGAGCTGAAGTCTGGTGCCAGGTGGTGTGCTCCTGCAGGGGGCGCTCTGGAGGACAACAAGTTCAGTCACCACAGTGAACAATATGAGACAAACGAACACTCGCGGATCAATAGTTCATCCAAAACACCTACGCTGCCCTCCCCTGCAGACCACTGTGGCTGTACTTTATGAAACAGTCCCGCCCTCATATTGTCCTTGAGCAAGACACCTGACCCCTAATTGCTCCCCGGGCAAAAAAAGCCATTGGCTAAAAATGTGATGCATGTCGCGTACGTCCCATTTCAGAAACCGCTGGGTTCAGCCTATGCGGTTGTTGAAGGTCTACGAAGGATGCAGCCTAGCGACTTTGAGTGTGACAGGTGTTGACGTCGGCTTCTTATGGGCAGGTATGTCGTAGCTCCGCCCCTCAGGGTATCAATAAAGACACGTGGTGTTAAAAGAGCTTTAAGAGGTTGGAAAGCTAGAAAAGAGATAAACAGGTACAGTGTTTGGGGGAAGTGCTGTCTGAACACTAAAGACACACTATTGTCTTCCATTTTGATCAGAGGTCCCGTCTACAAACAATATATAACAATGTTTTCCCTTAATGGACTCCAGGTGAAGCCCTTTAATGAAGGTGCAGCGCATGGCGAGTGGAGCAGCAGGTGCGGCGCTGCTGACTGAGGAGGACACGTACTTGAGCTCCCTGCTGAGGACGATGTTGATCCGGTTGTTCAGCGGTCTGTTCTTCTCCGGGATGGAAAACCACGTTTTTCTCCCCATGATCACCACGTTCTGCTTGTCTGCAGGACGGCAAGTTTCCAATCGGTTAAATGTCACCCTGCAGCGCCGCTGAGGCCTTTCAAGAACAATTCTACTCAATATTGGCTTTTTCGTCACTGGAATGTTTGGTTCTATTCGGATGATTGTTTTCTAAAAGTCCAAAATAAGGAGGGGGGTATTTACATGGAATGTTATGGATATTTTTGGTTCTTAATTAGTTTTAATCAATTATTTGTTTACATTGTTTTAGTTATTTTTCAGAATAAAGGGAGTACTATCAGTGGCGTAGAGTTGCAGTCGTTTGGCAATAGTCGTTTGTAGTTAATCAGCACATCTGAACAAAACGTGTGTTAAAACATTTTAGTAGATCATGTAATGAATTACTCGCTGACGGCAGCGTTCTCCGATAACAGGTGCGATCCGGCTGGAAACGCTGAGCGTGAAGCACAGGTGTCCTCTGAATGCCTGGTTCAGTCCCCTTCGGCTCCATAAAGTGGGTCTTATCTTATTCACCGTGGGGGTGAATTACACAGCTAGTGCACCTACGTTGATGTCACACAACAGGGAGCCGCTTCTGCTACACATTCAGTCCCAGTGAACACGTACGTGTGAAATAGGACAACGTCCATTGACCCTTTGTGCCGTTCGTCACCGATCATTGACTAACTCGTTGATCTCATTCCGTCCTTACAGGTGATGACAACAATAAGAAGTTACTGAAACAACACAACTTCCCTATAAGAACAATCACCGGTGATTTGATTTCTCTTGACAGCGTTAAAGGTTTATGAACATTTGGCACAAACAAACGTCAACCAACGTTTCGGATACGTCACCAAGGCAGGTGATGCGTTCACAATGATCACGTGAGGGATTGAAGATGTAATTTTGCAGCCGTATTATTTATTTACACAGAAATAGATTTGAGCGAGACACAAGGACAACAAAGACACACACAAGTAAACGTTAATAAAAGGCCCAAAACATGTAAACTATAGAAACGGAGCAAAGGCGTGATTACTGAATGGGCCGCAAGATTATGTACAACATCTGTATGTTTAAAATGTCTCCGTACGTTCACACATATGTTTGATGACGGTGACAGGAAGAGAACCAGCAGGTAGGTAGAAGGTGCCTCATAGGCCAGGCGGCTACGTCAGGTAACCAGGGGCACGTGACGACGCAAACCCCACAGGTCACGTTACCTTTCACGGAGGCCGTCGCCGTCATCCTCCGGAAGTGTTTGAATTCGTTACTGTAAAACAAGAACGCGTAATTAACGCATCTGCAAAGTTGGCACACGCCGCTGCCGCCGCGCGCGCTTCAGTGGCTGACGTCACGGACCCACCTGAGTCTGAGGGGATGCCAGGGCAGGTTTCCATGGCAACCGATGCCCAGGTCAGGACACACCGCCACGATGCCGTTGAGGACGCGGGACATGCTGCGCGGACTGGACGGCGTCCTCGTGCAACACGAGCTTTCTGGCGGGACTCGAATCGGCGCGCTTCTTCTTCTCTTCTTTTAAAGGCGGTAGACTCACCGCCTCAGAGTGTCGCAGCGCCACCCGCTGTGTGGAGGGTGAACCGAGAGCAATGAAAACTCATCGCTGTGATCACAAGCTGAGGGAGCCAAACGTGCGCGTGTAATCATACAACATACAACACAATTAGGGTATCAACAACTACTTTGCAGTTCAATATTTTATATTTATTCCCACTTTAAAAAATCATATAATAACTACTGTATATATGTCAGTCCTCTCATCTGCTTCAAACGTGGTGCAATCCTCCAGAATGTCATCGTGTTAATCTTGAGCATCTAAACCTCGCGCAGGTAAAACATGCATGAAGACAGCACACGCCAGGTCTTTCATATATATACATGAAGACGAGGGCCATAGGCTCATATTGCCTCTGTGATAGAGACCAAACACACATCTACTTAAATGAAAGTGCCACTTTGAAGCATTTTACAAGTAACAAGAAGGGAAGAAAAAGGGTTTTATTCACAAACTGTAGTACAAAAGTGTGTGTAAACAATACACAGAAATGATTTCTGACAGAAATAAGTGTGTTGTGCTATTTCACAGCTGGGCGTGCAGCAGCTCGGAAGCAGTCCTCACAGCGGACAGAAGCTTTGGCCAAACTTAAGAAGCTGGTGAACCTTTAATGACATACCGAGATTGTCCCATCGGGTATCAAGTCTTCAACACTTTTGAAATATGGTGCATTCCCTGTGTGCACCATAGGCATTCTATAAGACGGTGACCACGCAGTATAGTTAGCCTCATTGCTTCAGGGGTTGCTTGGGTTGTGAATACAGCAGGGGCAGCAGTGCAGCGAGTCATGGATGAAGAGATCACACTCCGAACAGAACACACCTCCACATATCGGACAGGTGAATATCTAGACACAGCGGGAGAGAGCAGATCAACATGGATAGGTGGACTGAACTCATAATTGATTCAGGTAATTCATTATTCCACTCAATTTTAAAAGGAATGTGAATATATTCGCTAAACTAACCAGCAATGTCTCAACGGCGTTTAACATTGTAGAGCTAAAAAAAGTTGTCAAAATTGAAGCAGCCAAGCGATGTTTAACACCAGATCCTACAATTCCTTTATCAACTCAATGGCTCATAAACTCCACACTGCTGGTTTGTAATGCACAAACGTCTGTTGCAGCTGGACAATAACTGGGCAGGTATCAAGGACATAGTTTTCCTCCCACATCCTCTTTCCTCTCTCATTTCATGTCGTCCCGCTCAGAATAAAAGGCATAGAACATCGTAAGAGGAGATCATCACACTGGGAAAAACTAAGGCACGTATCTTTGTACCTCCGCTGCTCCACTTACACTTTTGTCTTTCAGCTCCCCTTGACAAGCCTGACAGAACCTGAAACCAAATGACGGCAGGTTTAGCCACACAGCAGCACAGCGTCAGTGAACGACTGGGTGTGCGGATGAAGGGGGGCACCTGTCTACGTGGAGCCCCTCTGCAGGGCTCTCCGTGAAGGCTTGGAGGGGGAAAAGGTGGTGGAAGGATCTGGCCAGATGGGGCGCCGACACCAGAGTCAAACCTTCGAGACAACGCGGCGGTCAGAGGCGCAGCACAAAGCAGGAACAGAACCGTATAAAAGTCTAGTCTAACCGTACAGTGACGCGCACACACACACGTACCACAGACTTTACACTCCACAGGAAGCTCGGTGTACTTGGCGTGGCATTGCGGACAGAAGTATCCTCCCAGAGACAGACCGGCACCACCGCTACTGTCCAGATGCCTGCAGCACGCAGCGGGGGCAGATTACATTACATGGCGCTTTTATCCAAAGCGACTTCCCATCAGCTGAGAGCCTGGAGGTCCAGATAGCAGCGCGTCGACTTACGCCATGCTGAATGAGGGCTTGGCGTCCTGGTCACTCAGGTAGGCGACGGTGTGCTGAGGAAAACCTGGACAAACAAGTGGGTGTGAGACCAGTATTCTGCTGATGTTTGTCGAATTCATTTTGGAGACCAACCAAGCTAATCTAACGGCATTTTTATTTGAGATGGATTAACATGAACATCTAGACGGTGCCAGTATGGAAGGAGAGTATGAAGAATCAACGAATCAATCACAGGGTTACACAGCAAAATGCAGTTGTTGCCTATTCGTTACCACTACTGAATTAAAGTGCATTTTGTGAATAAACATGATGATGAAGACGTCTGAGCATAAGAGGACATTCAGCACACTGGAAAGGGAGGATTTTAATGACGATGAAGACGTCTGAGCGGTTCTCCACTGCTGTTATGAACACATCCTCATGTGACATTTACTCAAATAGAACGTTTGTGATTGACACTTACTCTTCTTTTGAATTCATTATTTACATTTCTGAAACGTGGACAGCGGCTCAGTGGGAGTTTTTAACAGACCACCAGGAGAAAGCAGTGCTTTGTGTGGGACTATTTTCAGCACCGCACTGATCCACATGTTGGGCTTCAGTGAGGATGTTGGAGGCAGATTATTCTACAGACATTTAACACACATTTAACCATTTAGCAAATGCATCCCGTTGCCCTCACAGTTCTATCTTTATGCTCATCCTACAGGGTCCCAACCAGCGCTGCCATGTCCCCTTTGTAGTTCTGTGTGACTGTTGGCCAGGCAATCGGGTCCAGCTCGCACACGCCGTCTCTCCGCTATGTTGTATCTCATGCTACCACTTTGCGTAGAAACAGAAGGGAAAGAAGCAGTCGGCGTCTGGGTACTGACCCATGCGTATCAGCGAGCACTCGGATGAGGAGCTGGCTGGGGGCGGTTTGACGTGCAGCATCAGCAGCTCTTTGAAGTGACTCTCATCCAGGATGACGTGGTAGGAGCCGCCCGTCTCCCGGGTCAATACCGTACACACCCTGACCTCCGCTGACAGGCCAATCACAGAGACCCTCACCTTCAGAGACTTCAGGGTCTGGAAGAGGGGGACCACAGTTACACGTCACGTCATCCGGTTTACATGGAGCCTCCTGAAACGTTCACATTTAGTTGCATTTAAATGTAAAATACAGAGTTTGTGATGCACCTTAATCAGCTCACAGATGTTGGCGGGGTCACATGTGGTGAGGCTGCTGAGGATTACCAGGATCTCCCGACTGGTGTGTCCAGGCATGTGCCTGCATGCAGAGACAGGAACAAGTTGAGTGACATCAAGTGATATTACAGAAATGACAACTATTCAAAATAAGAGAAATATGACTCATAATGGTAATAATTATAAGACGGCGAGGACCCACTTGAGTGTCTGTATGGCCAGGTGGAGAGAGTTGTAAAGGGACGGCTCGCCGATACACACAGTGTCCACTGCTTTCTTCAAGGCAACGATGTGTTTCTTTGGATTTCCTAGCGTCAAACAAAATACATCACATGATGTCAACGACTTGACCTTTGTATTGTTCCGCTTATGACGTAATGCCGGACTTTCACAGGCAGTTCACACAAGTGAACCGTGTGAACAGAGGCACCCTGCTCTGTTTAGACAAAGGCCCATTATTCTCTGTGGCAGAAAGACTAGTTTAAATGAAAAAAAAAAAAACATGGTCATCATTTGTGTTACTACTCTCCTTCTAGTACCCAAAGAGAGGAGTCGAACATGGAGCTCACCTGCCAAGTCAGTCAGCTTCTCTGCTCTTTTATTCTTGGTGGTGATCAGGCCCAGCTGGAGGATCACAGCAAACAATGCAGGAGTAAATAAGTGCATTTAACCATAAGGATACAAACTAAGAAGAGCAAGAAACAACAGGTGTGTCTTTAGTCTGAAGATGTGAAGGCTCTCTGTGGTCCTGATGTCTTCAGAGAGCTCCTTCCACCATTTAGGAGCAGGACAGCAAAGAGTGGAGATCTAGTGGAGTGTTTTGCTCTCAGCGAGGAGGAACAAGCAGTTTATCACATGCAGAGCGGAGAGTGCGGGTCGGGATGTCGGGTTGGACCAGGTCCTGGATGTAAGCTGGACCCCATCCATTCACAGCACGGTACCTGAGCACCAGTGTTTAGAACTGGATGAGCCACCGGTACCAGTGAGGAGAGCGGAGGAGTGGAGGAGTGAGGGAGAACTTAGGAAGGTTAAAGACCAGTGGAGCTGCTGCATTCTGGATGAGCTGCAGAGGTGGAATGGAGGTAGCAGGAGACCTGCAGGACAGAGTTACAGTAGTCCAGGAGGGAGACGACAAGAGCCTGAATCAGTACCTGCGCCGCCTTCTGAGTGAGAAGAGGACGTATTCTCCTGATGTTGTAGAGCGTGTATCTACAGGATCGTGATGTCATTGATGTTGGGAGTCAGGGAGAGTCGGCTGTCGGGTGTCACGCCGAGGTTCCTGCGGTCACAGTGGGCGTTAACACGGAGTCGCCAAAGTTGACAGTCAAGTCCTGGGTCGGAGAATCTTTTCCCGGAAAGAGAAGTAGTTCAGTCTTGTCGGGTCAATGCTTCATTGATGAAGAACAGGAAGTGGCAGACTTCTCCGGGAACCATCACCATATCGTGGTGGAGAGGTTTGTGTGCCCCCTGCATGGGGCTCCAGTAGGGGACTCCATGGTCCTCCTGGGAGACTTCAATGTGCACGTGGACAACGATGGAGATAGTGTATCTACAGGATCGTGTGAAGAGATCGGGTAAAGAGTGATCACCATCTGGGGGTGAGCTGGGTCACAGACTCATGGAAGACCTGACAAACCCAAGCGCGTAGTGCGGGTGAACTGGGAACATCTGGAGGAGGCCCCAGTCCAAAAGATTTTCAACTCACACCTCCGGCGGAGCTTCTCCCACATTCCTGTGAAGGTAGGGGACATTGAACCAGAGTGGTGTATGAGTGGGCTCGACTTTGGGCCATCCAATCCTTTTGTACGCCCAAAGCGAGAGCTACGTTCGGGTGCTCGGCAGTAAGTCAGAGGCGTTTCTGGTGGGGGTCGGCCTTCGCCAGGGCCGTGCCTTGTCACCAATCATGTTTGTGGTTTTCATGGACAGGATATCGAGGCGTAGTTGGGGGGGGGGGGGGGTCTACAGTTCCGGGGGCTGCAGATTTCATCGCTGCTTTTTGCAGATGACGTGGTCCAGATCTTCTGTCTGTGACCTCCAACTCTCACTTGAGTGGTTTGTGGCAGAGTGTGAAGCGGTCGTGATGAGGATCAGCACCTCTAAAACCTCTAAAGAGCTCTCGATCTACCGGTCAATCTTGGTTCCTACCCTCACCTCTGGTCATGAAGGACTGGTCATGACCGGAAGAACTAGGTCACGGGTGCAAGCGGCCGAAATGGGTTTCCTCAGGAGAGTGGCTGGCGTCTCCCTTAGAAACAGGGCGAGAAGCTCAGCCATCCATGAGGAGCTCTGAGTAGAGCCGCTGCTCCTTGCTGTTGAAAGGAGCCAGTGGAGGTGGTTTGGGCATCTGGTGAGGACGCCCCCTGGGCGCCTCCCTAGGGAGGTGTTCCAGGCACGGCCAGCTGGGAAGAGGCCCCGGGGAAGACCCAGGACTAGGTGGAGAGATTATATCTCTGCACTGGCCTGGGAACACCTTGGGATGCCAGTCAGAGCTGGTAGATGTGGCCCGGGAAGGGGGTCCCCTGCTGGAGCTGTTGCCCCCATTAACTTGAACTGAACATGAAATATTCTGGGAATGGATCCAATATCATAAGAACCTATTTACCATAAGCCAATCATACTAAAGCAATACTCAATGGCATCTTTTTTTCTGATTCACATATGGATCATTTAACAATTGGTCAAAAACCCCAAATGATGAAACCTTTGCATCACAAGTTATGAGGCAGGAACCTCGGCCAAAAGAGTCCTTGAGTGCAGCAATAGTGACGACACGATGAAGCAGACGGTTTCTCTGCTAGAGGCAGCAGAACAGATCACGTTTAAACGAGAGCTGACGGGACCTTAAGTCACAGGTCAGGATCAAATCTGCACAGAACTCAATGATTGATACACACCTGGCTGATGGGGTTTTGGTCAAAGTAGTCCTCGACAAAGGTTTCCAGCAGCTGAGGAGGAGAGGGTGCATTAGAGCTGACCATGACGTATCGATGCTGGGGGGGGGTCTGCTGCAGAACCTACCTTCAGGGAGGCGGTGAGGCGGTTCGGTTTCAGGTCATGGTCGTCCATAGTTCTTGAACAGTCGATCACCACGTGGAGGTGTCGCATCTAGAGAACAACATCCTTTAACCTCCTGAGGTTTTTAGTAACATTTTATTTCCATCCTCATCCCACTTGATGTTATGCTGAGTATGGCCAAAGTAGTCCCCGGTACAATGTTCTGATGCCAAAAAGAGTCAAACTGATCCGGGTCCCCAATGGGCCACATTCTAAACAACGGTCATTGCAGGCTGCAGTGTCTTTTATTACTCCAACAAGATGCAAATGATTTCTATGTTGTCCATCAAAACAAAACCATGACAGCATGTTGACCAAAGGTGTAAGTGGCCGTTCTATCATGTTTAGCCATATAAAACAACAATGAGGTGCAGGATGAAGCCAATAAGCACGAGGTTCACAACTCACTCACCATTCCAAGGCGCACTTGTCCGTGGCTCTCTGTGACCCTACGGGGTAAAACAAAGCACAGAACCTTGATATCGCTTTAGGGGAACTAACGGATTGCCTTCTGATTGAGCGGCACAGAGTCCAGCTGTACAACTTTCTCATTTTCACGTTCACGTAACACAAGAGACTCGTCAAACGAAATGGAGTCTTGAGAATGATCAAATCAATGAGTCATGTGTCACGCGTGCTTATCAAACAATACAGGCACACAAACCTTTTCCTTTTGGACTGGAACAGGATCTCTTCTACTGTGGCTTTTAGGGAGCCAGATTCGTCCTCCTTCAGCACCTCCCTGGAGAAGACACACGACCCACAGAGATCCATGAGCAACGCTCTTCACTTAGAACAATGAGGACTTGGGCTCAATGGTTAGTAAGCGCCATTCACCCTTTTTCTGTATATATAATATAATATTAGCACTCTTTTATTTTACTACGCAATGGTGTTAGTAAAAGTTGTGAATATATATATATATATATATATATATATATATATATATATATATATATATATATATTTCCTTTCATTCATAGTGTTTAACTTGCCATCTATGTTATTATTTCTAATTGTTGTGTTGGTATTATGGCTGTTTTGGGGATATTTTGTCTCATATCTCCTCAGAGCAATGTGTGTGTGTGTTTGTTTGTTGCATTTGTAACTTGCAACAAGAGATACTAGAGATGTATTTCGTATGTCTCTTTGGCGTTGGTTAATTGTTCAGTTAATTATTGACAAAGTTTTGTATAATTCAGAGTTAATAGATGAATAAATTCAGGCTTTTACCAAAGCCGGTTAAGACTGAATACAATCGCTACCTCACCTGACACAAAATGAGAAACCATCGGTACAATAACGGGACCTCCTATTAAAAAGTCTTAATTATATTATTGAGATCCCAGGACTCTCAGACGTATTGCACAGTGACAGGTTCAGAACCCACCACGAGCCGTTAGGACCAATCAAAGGAAACAACATGGTTTATTTTGTATTTACTAGGAAACACTTTAATTAATCATAGCTTATTAGCGTAGCTCATTATTAGAAAGATGCAGTACCAAAATTGTCATTGAGAAAGTGTTACCGTGGTTACGCCATGTTTGAATGTGGAAGCCGTATGATGACGACACATTGACCAAAACACACTTCCAGACTGACCCAGATCAGACAGCCTCAAGCTTCTATTGATGGACACAAATGCTCCTGTTTCTGTGTCTGCTTTGTCCCTCTGCACTGCTCTTGTTTGTGTTGTATTTATGTGTGTATAAGGATGATGATCTCACACTTTTTGTTTGACTCATTATTGATTATATATCTTTATTGGTTGAATGGTCTTACCATGTCCTCTCATAGCCGCCTTCCCAGCGCTTGGTTCTCTCTGGTTCTTCATCCATTATGTCTGTCGGACAAACATGCAAGTAAAGTTACAGCTAAAGAATAGTGACAAACTTCAGCTTCACACTCATCCACAAGTCTTGTGCGCGGGCTGTCACACTTCATTGTGTTTGGCCATCGTAGTTTGTCTCATCCCTTTATTCCCCACAAGGTGATTTAATAGAATTCGGCACCCAGTGTCAACACTGAAAACATTATTGGACATTCTATAAACCTCTACCTGTCCTGGTAAAGGTATATCGAGCCGGATCGGTTTTGCAGTATGTATGTCGTTAGTTGTGCCGTAAAGCGTATTAGTCATTGATTCCACAGCAGGGACTGATCGCAGAAGTAACGATGCAAACAGAAAACATGAAAGCTGTGGGGGAAAAGCGTCGCACAAAGCGGGTATTGATAACCAGCAAATAGTTGCGTGCGTTACATTAAAGCTCTGGCATTATGCATATCCTGCTAACGTGAATTCAACATTGTAGCTAGTTAGATATAACGTTGGTAGTCATTACCGTTACATTAGCTTCAACGTTTAACACAGCGAGCTAACGTTAGCTATCAATAATTGTAACGTTACGTTGTTTATGTATCGTTTATTCAATATGCTAATGAGGACCAAGTGAATGCATTATCGTGTTATTATTTATTATTGTTTGCGATAGAACTTTCAGTCATAAATAACGCACATAAATAATGGTAATGATAAACAATTCGTTGTATCTACAGTACCGGTTTAATGCAACACCAGACGGTGCAACGGATATTTCCTCCGGAAAGAAACACGCGTTCAGAGCAAATGCCCGGTCCCTCTTCTTCTTCGTGTACTTTCTCTTCTTCTTCTTCTCTGGTTGAATGGCGGCTGGCTAACCAGTATAGAGAAACTGTACCGCCATCTACTGAATGAGCGAGACGCAGATAGATTTGTAGGGAGACAGTTAATCCTGTTGAAGCGAAGCATCTGTAAAAGTCTCTCGATACTTCCGTCTGCATGAAGACTTTCCAGCGCTGCGACCAAATCACGAGTGGTTACCATACTGGAATGATTATTTATATGACTAATGTTAGTCTAATTAACTCAGCTGTGTATATTAAGAGTTTCTATTGTTCGCTGAATCCAGACAACGTGTGGCCAGTCTCTGATTGTTTCCACCCTTCTGTAATAATGAATAACTTTTCACCACGATGTAACATAAATAGAGGGTTTGGCACCACATTGACCAGACAACAAAATCTTCTCTATCTATCTATAGCATTACATATTGACAACCCTCTGTTCTCCTGGTCCCAGCCCCCTCCGCTGCTTTTTGGGCTGGTGCTGATGATTAGATTCACTGCCACACTTTCAGAAGAAATGGAGGCTCTGGACCAAAAAATACTTGCTACTTTCAATAACAACGAGGCCTCTTCCAGAAATTGACCTGGTGGATACTTTAATAAACACTTTATTATCAATTGTATTTGCGCATTTTAATTATTATTAAAAAGTCTTTATCCTTTTATGTGTGACGTATGATAAGCGTTCACTTTGATGAAAAGGCACATTTACAGACTGTGCAAAGTGACCAACTAATCTTTCTAACAACAAAAGCTTTATCGGCAAGTAGTACATTATTTAGCTGATCATTACAAAGCTGTGACCCTCAGGACAAGTGCTTCAGTGAAGAGGGCTCCAGGGTCTTCTGCTCCTGGATGAACAGCATGTTCACATTTGGCATGAAAAAAAAAACCAAAAGTCTCATTTCAAGCATCCTCACAAAGCCTCTGTGACACTTGGGGAGTCAACGTTCGAGTCTCTGATGGTCTGGAAACACTTTTGAATTCTTCCATGTGCTCGTCCACAGTGTTGACAGCGCGACTGTGGCCGTTCCATCGGGTTGTGGAGGCTCCGTTGTGGGCCACCTCTTGGTCGAGCCTGGTGGTTTTAAGTCACTTAAATACATCTGTATAGGTGAATGAGCTCACTTGAGTCAGCTGATCACACATCATGTGCACGATAAGCTGTTTCTCAGTCAAAATCCAACGTGCACTGTAATAGTTGGTGTAACCACACACACATTAACCAAAGGTGTGTGTGTGTGAAACCAAATGGATCTTCAGTAGACGAGATTGTCTCAATCTGGGAGTAAATATTTTGTAGCTAGATCAAATATTTTATACGACTTTCAACATTTATCTCTTCAATATGCATCTAAAACTTGACTTATTTCTTCACAGAACATGCAACAACAGAGTTTACAGATGTTCACGATTGCTCCTCAGTAGTGCTGCGGTCGGTTTATGGCGTTTTGCCTCCCTTGTTACCCCCCCCCCGGCACTGCAGCGTATTGGCTAGAGAGAGCAGTCTGCCCGTGTTTAGATCATTCTCTTCAGCTGAACTAGAGCTGCACTGGTGCTCCTCCAGACCGCAGTCCACCTGTATTGATTACATCACATCTTCTAAAGGTAGAATACTAGCACTGTTACTATGGCAGCTGGAACCATCTTAACATGTTAACACAGTGATACAAAAGCTTATTGATCACTTTTCTTTATTGAAATCTTGTAAACATGCTTTCTCCAAAATGTATTACCACTGGCAGAAGGAACTTTGTGGTTGCAAACTAAACCACCTTTTACATACATCAGTTGAGTAAAACAGCAAAACAATCAATTTCATCAAGATGTGCTGGATAAAAGTATATAGACTATTGAAAATGTGTTCATCTTCTTTTGACGCGGTGCACCTAAAGCGAACCCAGCCATCGTTTATTCATTTCCTTTTAATAGCCCAATGTCTAAGATCTATAATAAGAACAAATAGTGGAGAAAAATGTACTAGAAATACACATATTTACAACGGCTTGTCAGCAACTCAATGGTGCTCAGCACATTCACGTGTCTCGTGTCAGCTCTTCCTTCATTCTACATGAAACTAGAAAACATTATATTTTAAAAGGCTACAAAAGAAGCGGCTTCATAAGAGTACTGACACATACCCATCTAATTTAACATCTCAGACTTTCCAACTTCGTAAAATAGTAAATAAAAAAACCATTGCATAAGTGTGAATAGTTAGTTAGTGGGGGGGTCAGAGGTGGAAGTTCATGGCCGGCGGTCGTAGTTGCTGATCCTCCTTTTGATGTGGGACAGTTTGGACCGGAGATATTTACACCTGTTCTTCTTAACCTGGTAATGTGGGGACTGCAAAAGAAATGTATTAAGCCCTCTTCTGTTCCGAGTGGCCTGGATGTATTTGTAATAGACTGCATGTTCCTCACCTTCTTGAGATTCTTCAGCCTGCTGTGTTTGTCCAAGGCGTCCTAAGATCACAATGATAGAAGTCAATGGAGCAGAAGTTCAGCACTGGAACAACTGTTTTCCTAAATAAAGCCTTAGAAAATGTCCAAAACTGGGAATAACGGTCTCTGTTCTCACTACCACACCGCTGCCTTCCTATTGGCAGCCATAACAACCGATTGTAGGCGAGTCCCCTGAATCGGAGTCTGACCCCGACTCACCAGGTACGGGGCACTGCCCTCGGGGTGCCGGTCCAGCTCCCGGTCCAGGTCAGCCAGGTCCTGGTTGATGCCTTCCAGCTCGGCCTGCAGGCTCTTGTACTCCTGATGTTCCAGGTCAAACTCACGTTTGTAGTTCAGACGCTCTTGCTCATCCACAATGGGTGGAAACAAACTGCAGATGAGAAGTGACATTATGCGACAGGTAGCCATTAGCCTACATTTGGCCGGTGGACACGGGAGAAACAAACATCAAACCCCAATAAAAGCATAAAAGATCGATGCGGCTTGTTGGTGATCCACTCACACATTGAAGTCCTCCTCCTCCAGGTCATCTCCAGACTCCACAGCAGTGTCGTAGTCTCTCAGCCGGGGCTTGGGGCCTCCCACAGAGCTGCTGATGTCCGAGTCGCTGCAAAACCACATCACAGATTTACACACTGGGTCGAGCACCATTATCAGGACGCAGCCATCACCATACGCAAATTAACTCTGTATATATTCAGATTCCCCATCAAACCAGACTGCCAAGCATTCAGCTAACTGCTTAAATAGAAAGCTAAGTATCAACAAAAGGCCAGAACCTTTTTTCTGAATTAATATTCAGTATTTAGAGCGGAACACATCAATTTGTTGTTTGAGACAGAATATTAACGGCATTCTGTATATTACTTCAAACGATTGAGCCGTCTAAGGGCTTTAATCTGAGTGGTGGTGAGATTAGCTGTTGTGAATGACGCATAGCTTACCCTGGCAGGTAGAGAGGCTTGCTGTGGTCCAGCTGGTCCACATAGTCCCTGGACCCCCTCCCTCCGTGATTAGCCCCATTCAGCAGCACCTCTGGGTTACCTGACACTTTGCTCACCTGAAGCAAGAGAAAAGGTCCATTCCAGTCGCCGTAGAGACCCATGCTAGTTTCGATCAAACTTTCATACGTATTTAATTCTCAAAAGAACATTCGACCAATTTCACAAAAGAGTCTTGATGGGTGCGGATGGATGAGTTCGGGCGGAGCGGACGATGTCATCACGGCTTTTACGTGGTGCATCCAGTGCAGTGTAATATTACCACATTGTTTATATCAATAACACGATTTACATCCATGTTATATTATTATTAGAACATTTCCAAATACTTTTTCTGGTAAAGAAAGAAATGTCAAGTGAACATATTTAGTGTATGTAAATGGTCTGTACTTGTATAGCGCTTTTATAGTCTTCTGACCACTCAAAGCACTTTAACACTACGTGACATCATTCACCCATTCATACACTGATGACAGGAGAACCACACACAGTGACACCTGCCATCAGTCACTAACATTCACACACAAATCAAAAGAAAATCAAAAAATGCATTATTATTTACCATAAACAATTCTAACCATCATCATGGCCTTAAGTAGCAACACATTACATTTCACTCTTCACATCTTTTTTCTTCAAATAATATATAAAATGATATATTCCAATATACCAGTTTTAGATGCTGAAACTGTTTTACGGGATTTATTCGATTTCATCAATTTTGTTACAAATAAACCCATTTATGAAATTGCTTTTCTCATGAGACGTTGGCCTGAGGTCTCAGTCCGGTTTTCCCTCCTATCACACGTGCTAATGGAGCGTGTGATAAACATTGTGCTTGCTGCAGCGTTCACCAGGACAAACCAGTTCCTCGACTTCTCCCTGCATACCTGAACATCAGCGATACTGTCCCCACCGTCAACAGGACGCCCCCCCAGGCACTAAGGACTCCTGCCTGGGAGGAAAGCCACGTTGGCATGGAAGAGGTCTCAGGGCAACACTTGGCCACACTGATGTCAGTACGGACAAATTAAGGGCTCTTCGGTTCGTTCTAATGTTCTCAAGCGCATCCACTGAGATGTTCGTTCTCAGCGTTTTTTAAAAACACATTATTCGGCAACAAAGAGTGTCGGAACAGACCACACCCAGAAACCGCATCCCTCCCCGATGTCACACACACCATTTCTAAGAATGTGCCACAACAAGTAAGACTAGGCCCACTTCCCAGAAGTGAAAGTTCTGTGTACTGTATGTTCTTAAAATCGGTCTTTGTAAACAAAACAATACATTTTCTAGCTACTAGTCGGATTTTCACCACACTATGTGGAGATGGACAAAGTCGAGTTTAACCACAGATCTGTTTGCAGCCTTAATTTCATCCCAACCCCTTGAATTCATTCTATTCATGTTTTTCTGGGTGGTTTCCTCGAATGTGACGCATCAAGTCTGTAATACCAGCGAGTACACAAACAACTTCTGTTCATGACGCCGTTTGTCTCGGCAGACGCCTCAGTCAGTATCTCCTTCTCTATTTTTAACATCAGTCATTCCTTCTTCATTTACCCTTCAGCAGCCTTATGGCATCGTGTCCACTCTTCACGGAGGCCTTTGTAGAGCCTTACCCGAGTAAAGTGCTCAAATACAAGATGGCACGCTTTTTATAGCCATGGTGGCTAAATGGGGTCACTACATTAACACAGGAGGGTTTGCTCAATCCCAATATACACGGCAGTGAATAAATCGAATCATTGGCCGAAAGCACGTCATATCCGATACGATAGGTGGCGCTGTTTTCATTACAACTAGTTGTGATACAGCCATTTCCGCTTGACCACTTCACCACTACCAACAACAACAACAACAACAACAACATCAGGAGAAAGATGGCGAGCGGAGAGCGAGGTGAAGCTACATCCCTCTGCTATGTGTGCATGATGTTAACAGGAGCACAGCGAATGCGAATGGCGCTATTGGCTGATTTGATAACGGAGAGAAGACGCCGTCGGGATCTCAAGCAGGCGCAAAGACGCAAAGTCCAGTTCCTCATCCGATTCACCGTTACATGCAGCAATAGTCGAACTACCAACCGGATCGGATCGAGTTATCCAGGGGTGTTAGTCGGATCGTAGTCAGACCGCACATAGTCGGACAAAGGTGTTTACATGAAACGGATCATTCGATTTCAGTCCGACTAAGCCAGTTATTTGAATCCATGTAACCACGCTGAGTTACTGACATTGTAGCTGACAAGTAGCGTGTGTTACAGTTTAAACCTACGAGCGGTTATACTTTGAAATGAGCTGATTTACTTAGTCTTAGTGTGCTGAGTAAAGAAGCTTTGTCCAACACACACACACACACACACACACACACACACACACTCACCCAATCCCCGACACTGTTTTGGAGACCATTATTGACAACCGTCAATTCATCCCAGAGTATGCGATCCTGCCCCCAGCGCCTGATGTTGGTGCGAGTCTTTACTGCAAACACCAGCAGGATGATGAGGGCAACAAACACCAGGATGGCAAGGACAATAGCTATGACCTGGAAGAAAAACAGGAATCCACGTCAGTGCGACAAAATCACATCCCCGGTCATCAATAGTAAGTAACAGGGAAGCCTGGAGGTGTGCGCTAACACTGCAAACAGGACAGCTCCAAAGCACTGGCTGCAAGTTAAAAGGGTCAGTTCACCAAGGTACCCCCATAGAGGCCTATGCCACAACCAACGACTTAGTGGCTCTTAGCATCCAAAAGAGTGAAACATGTCTTTGGGGAAAGCAACGTCCTGGCTTTTTATTCATAGACAGCAATATATTCATATTCATAGAACGCTACAGTAGAACACAGAACAACACGTTGGTAAATGGTCAACACTGTCACAGTGAGAGTGAAAAGCAAGCGTATCTCACCTCCTGCGGCTCCACCACACAGTAATGGTAGAGGTACTGGTTGAGGAAGATACCCTGGGCCTGGCTCTGGGTCTGATACTGGGAACACAGTTGCTGGACCTGGCTGTAGTAGACGGACCCTGTGGACTGGGCTGTAGGGTTCACCGACACCAGGTACACAATCGTGGCGATGATCATCAGAAATGCCAAGATGGCACAGATGATGATGGTTGCTAGGTAGAACTTTGGTGAGCGGGCCGCATTTTGCCTCGAAATGACCAACACGAATATGATGAGCGCAGCTATGAAGGTTATGGCAGCCATGGCGATGAGGAAGCCTTTGGCGGCCGCAGGACTCAATTCTGTTTCGCCATAGCCACCAGCGCCTCCTCCATAAGAGCCACCAGCGCCGCCTCCATAGGAGCCACCAGCGCCGCCTCCATATGAGCCGCCAAAACCGCCGCCATATGAGCCACCCGATGAGCCGCCATAACCTGGTATCAAGCCAGCGCCACCTCCCAAACCTATGGAGTCGATGTCGTAGTCCCAGGCCAATGTGGAGGCCACACAAGCAAACACGGCCACGCACAGGACGATGATGATGAGACACAATATCTTCATTACTCCAGGCGGTGACGTCCAGCGGTAGAAGTGAAGCATCCTCTCTCCCTGGTAGGAGGAAAACGCTGGGTTGTACACGAGCTCACTGTGCCTGGGTCTGCTGCTGTGGCTGCAACAGAAGAGGACAGAGGGGCTGTGCTCGATGACGCGTTCACCTTTAGATGAGTGTCTTACCACAAAGGGAAATGGTGTTAAACATGTGGAGACCACTAGTATACACGTAAAACAAAGTACAAGACCTTAAGGCCTGTAACTAAAGACTGTATTGATTATCAGGGAATCGGATCTGAATGTAATGAAGCATGTCTGTCACCGTCAATGAAATCAATGACAATCGTCAAGGTATTGTCTGACTTATCCACCTTATCTGACCGTGTCTCTACGGGACACCCAAACAGAACTTTTTTTCCTCTGGCTAATCCAGAAGTCCCTAAAACGTCTCACTGTTTCTCTCACCACATTCTCATCCCAACTCTTCCCTAACTCCCCCCTCTAGCATCAGTCTCGAACCACATGTTAAATGCACAGAGACCTTTCTGCCTTAGTAACGAGCTTAGTAACGAGCATGCTTAATGTCAACTCAACTGCCTAATGACTTCTCCACAGAACGACTGACCATCACAGAGACAAAAGGTCGGAGTTCACTCTCAGTTTTGCACTGGACACAAAGCAGTCCCCCGGAACAATGTCCTCTGTTAGCTTGAGCGATCCACCTCCCATCCTGCATCTCCATACCATGGTCTCACTGCCTACCCGCGATATGTACATATGGACATAAGGATTACAGCGTAGAGGACGAGGGATAGATGAAGGTCAACTTACTGGTTGCCCCCATGGTGCGTCGGGGATCTCTTTTTGTTGTTCGGCATACTGAAATCCAACTGGAGCTTGAAAAGCTAAAAAATATATATTCATACATTAAAACAACTATATTGACATGGCAAATACACATTTGGGTATCAAGAGCAAAACAACAGCGTCTGTGACACCTACTAATGTTTTCTCATAAAAACTCTTCTGCTATTGAGCTTCTGTGGTCGCCGGAGAGAAGCAGCGAGCCGACTTCTCTTTGTTTGTGTCGCCGTTCCGCGTTTAGTTCGCGTGTCGCTCGCTGCGCCTCAAAACGCGCTAAAAAAGGGTGAAATTGACCCACCTGCTGTGATGAGCGCGCGATCCCGACGAGACTGCGACGCGGACGCGATCAGCGGGTGGTAACGAGGGCCACGCCCACAGGTGTGTGCGCTCATCACGTGGGCTCCCCCTTTACAGGACTAACCTGTCCCGTGTCCTTCACGACAACACGGCGACCAGGAGGCCTCGCGGGAGCGCGCACATCCGGGAGCGCGTGAAGCCCCGTTTTAGATTGTTATGAAGTGTTTTTTAATTCAGCGTTGACAGAAAAAGGAATGAACAAGAGAAAGCAGGCCGGCATTATAGTTTCATCATCAATATCTAAGTAGCACAGTTTTCTATACATTCATTTTTCAGTATCATTACTATAGTAACTACTTGTAACTAATTAAACTAGTTTAACTGGTAAAAAAGAAAAAGATGATTTGATTTTGGTTATGATTTAAACTTTAATGCTGATTTAATGATCACTTGCTCGTTTCAAATAAAGGCGAGGAGAGAGGCAGCAACGTGACACATAGGCGGTCATTCTACTCCGGGCCGCGGCTAAACGTGATACTGGGAAAAGCATTTAAAGAACACACACACACCCCAACGCGCTGAACCGGTCCGGCAGGCTGAGGCAGCAGCCATTCCAAAAGGCTGACAACACGTTCATCAACATGGGCGCTGTGCACGCTGTCAGGGACATTTAGCGTTGCTGCGTTGTTCCTTTGAGGAGGCCACAAGACCCCTGGGTCTCCTGAGGGGTTCATTAACTGCACCACCGCGAATTTGACCCATTTTACCGTGGTTTTACTTCATTATACAACATGTTGGCTATACATTTCCATAGGAAACACGTGTAACACAATTCTAAATGAAGACTGAAAACAATGATGAGATATACCATGATGGTTCATACGGATAACCAGGTCCATCATTTACATCCATATTCATTTATCAACCTGACTATATTATTATTTTGTAAAACATATACTTATGTTTCACATTTGTTATGTAAACTGATGTAAATCAACAATAACTACAAACAAATGCAATTTGTCGTGGCTGACAATAACACAACACAACAACACAAGTCATCCAAACAGGATATTAGCTGAAGAGTTTATAAAAAGTTCCTTCTTTGTTATGAAGCACATTACATATGATACAAAACAACAACATGCACATATCACACAAACTATACACGTGAGTTTACAAAAGTAGTGACTAAAGATAATAATAAACCGCCATCATGTCATATTCAACATTATGATTTCAGTGTCATGGAGCCTCACAGTTCAATAGAACAATGTCAAAAGTAATACCAGCAAACAGGAAGGATTATAACAAGCAGCTTGACCTCCACGCTGTGACACATGCAGCATATAAAAGTCCATCCAATGGGACCACGGATCAACTAACAAACCTCAGCTCCTGCTCGTCTGCTGCGGATGCAGGACTAATCATAGCGTCCTTAACATTGACTCCGTCTTGTTTACTTCATTCATTCATTTGGTGGGATCTTATTTACACTCACTTTCAAAAGGAACACTTAGAGTTTTGGGCTCGTCACTCAATTAATGCTAAAAATATGATTAGTTACTGACACAAGCATCAAATTGGGCATTTAAAATGTCCTTAGCAACCTTTTTTTTTCTTGATATGAATTCCAGGAGTGCTGCTGAGCGCTTGAACTGCGGGGATTAGTTGTTTGCGTCCGGGACCTTGTTGTACTCCTGAATCCTCTGCTTGATGTAAGAGAGCTTGTTCTTCAGGTAGTCGCATCTCTCCCTTTTTTCCAAATACGTTGGATCCTGGCAAGATACAACAGAAACAAATCCTTTAATGACAATAAGCCACGCCATTTTTAATAGTCAATATCAAGACATTTCATTGGTGGGTGACTGCAAATAACACAACAGATACAATCCAAAGCATTTGGTTCACTTCATAGTTTTCAGCAAACCAAATGAATATTAACAAACCAGAAGAAAGGACATTTAGTGGTGGTGCTGACTTTATTATAACAAAGCCATTTATACGTCGCTGTCATTGGAACAACTGTGTGCACATGTGACTTCCTCTGAGAGCAGCAGGGTGCCACCGGTCCGCTGGTGAAAAGAAGTCTGATTGTATAAGTCTAAAGTGGCCGTGGTACTACTCGATCTATTGCCTCAGTAAACATTGTAAACATGAGATTCGCCAAATACAGCAAGATGTTCATTTGGTAAATTGGGGTTATATTTAGAGTCAAACTGACCATGCAGCTTTGCTAACACTGCCAGAGGCGCACGTAGCCATTTCTCCTCTGCACTCCGAGTCACACCCCTTGACTTGTTGTCCAAGGCAAAGATTAAAACAGGATAATGGCAGTCAAAATGCCAAACTGTGGGCTACACATCTGGAGTCCCTAAGGCGATAGGTGATGCCACAGCAACTACGTCCACTTCCTATACGCAGTTCCTACTAGCTACTTTAAAAAAGGGATATTTGATTGATTTAGCCTTCCACCAATGAAGAACCAGTGGCAGATGGTCCACCAGCGCTGCCTGATGTATACTTACAGCTTTCTTCCTTTGGTATTCAGATACAATGGCGCTGATCCGCTCCTTCTCCTGAAACACAATTTGAATGTTATGCATACAGCGTGTGTTCAAGTGTGTTCCTGTGTGTGTGTGTGTGTGTGTGTAGCAGGAGAGAGGGTCGTACCATTTGGCTAGAAGGCCGGGGGGGAAGATTCTGTATCATCTCGTCCATCTCTTCAAACCTCTTGGCCATGGCCTGGACCTCAGCATGCAGCTCCTTGTACTCGGCGTACTGGTCGTTGAACACAGCCTTGTACTGGTCCCTCTCCTCGTCTGAGCGGATGCTGGGGTACTTTCTGCGGGGACGAGAGACATGTTGACTTGGGCCGCTAGCTGCATTCAAACTACAGCTGAATGTCCCTCAGACTCCTGCAGTTTCTAAAGATGACAAAATCTATTGCGATCCATCAAAGAGTCTAAATATTCTAAATCCTGTGAAATGAACCAAACCAACAATGTGTCCATCTCCATTCTTTCTGACTTTCCTCGCTTGTCTGTCAGACTCGAGCTGTACCAGTATCAGGCTTTACAAACACAATACATTTATTGTTGGTTTGGCTCGACACACGGGAGCAATCACAGTGATCTCGTATAATGGGTTTAATAAAATGAATGTCTGGTATATTACATCATAATGACAGAAAGAGAACGACGCATTTAAAGCAGAGAAACGTCATCAACTCAAATCATCGACTTGGTGACTCAGCTAATCGGACGTGACTGGTAAAAGTCAGTACCATATTTTGGACTTTCTACCTTCACTGCACGACAGATGTACCGTAGAACAAATTGGCATAGACAGTAACGTCACACTTCCTGTGCCAGCGAGTGAGGCACAACTGGTCCAAAATAAGCCATGAAAGGTTTTCACTCACGCCACATAGTCGGCTATGATGACAGGTTTGGGGATGTGTCCGGCTGGTATGTGGCCTCTGAGAATCTCAGGCTCCAGTGCCATCAGAGGAGCAGCTGCAGAGTAGTTGGTGGAGTCCATGATGTCTGGCTGGAGAGTGGGCAGAGGGGTCCGCTCAGAGACCCTGGAGGATGGACCCAGCTACAGTACAAAACATCATGGGGTCACTTCATGTACACTGGGTGTGCATTTCAAGGCCTGATCGGACATTACAAAAGCAACCCGGGATACTTACGATAGACAGAGGGAGCGACGATCCAATGGTTTTGCTCTGGGTTTGGGGAAGAACAGAATTGGAGGGATTATTTAGATGCTTGCGATGTTCAAACTGGGAATTCGTCTCATGAGGGCGAACCTAATGCCTTCTTTAATTAAAAAGATTTCACAAAACGGGAACAGAAATTGAATGAGTGTGTGCGAGTGTCAGACCTCATATGCCAGCCCCTCCTTCCTCATCCTGGACGCTTCATGCCTCCACAGCTTCAGACACACTCCTGCACCAATGAAGTAGAGCACCATGGTGATGAAGAGGAAGACGATGGCTGCTGTCTGGCCAGCCTCTGTGCGACAAAATGCCCCATTTAATCCATTATTGAAGACCGGGAAGTTGCACAGCCCCCCCCGCGTGGTGTCCCTCACATACAATATTCCTGCTGTTAAATACAGAATCCCCAAGACCAGATTGATGGCACACTCGGTGAGGGGCCACCAAGAAGAGTCTAGAAGGATGGTTCTGTAATACAAGCTCATGCCAAGAACGACCAGGATAACGGTCACTATCCATGCAAGACCAGCCACCACAAGGACGAACGGGGTCTTGGGGCCCGTGTAGGGGTCGCCCCCATATCCGCCGACACTTCCACCGAGCCCCGGCTGGGAGTACCCATACATATTGAACCACTCGTTGTCCTTATGAACATAAGCACAGACGCAGGCGAACACTGCAGCTCCCATCAGCAGCTCCACACAGCCCAGGATCCTCAGCAGGCCGGCCCAGGACTTCATGTAGGCGTAGCGCAGGTGGTACTCCTCCACCCGCTCGTGGTAAGTCAGGGCCGACAGATTGGTGGGCACTGCCGATACGGAGGTGAGGGCTTCGCTACCCAGCGGCAACCCGTCGCGCTCCTTCTGAGAGGTGTAGCTGTAGCCAGAGCCGCCGTAGGGGTCCCGGTTGGACCCTAGCAGGGACGGGGAGGGAGGGGCGGAGTTGGGTGGTGAGCACGGGACTCCTGCTGTGGTCCGGCAGCTGGCATTCTTAGTGGATGAGGGGGCGGTGGAGTAAGGGGCCGGTAAAGGCGGGGGAGGGACGGCCCAATGGTTGCTGACACTTTTACCACTATTGCCACGGAAGAAGTTCTTGAGGGAGGTGGGTATGAAGCGACGGACTGGTTTAATGTCCATGGCATCACAGTCACCGTCCACTGGCTCATTGTCGCTGGGGGGGTACAAGGATTCATCCCCAACAGCAGGCTGCTCAGGTAGAGGGGGAGGAGGGAGGGGGTCCAAGCTCACAGCGGGTGCTATTTCATGCAAGGGACCCGGAGGCATAGGAAGATCCGGGTCGTGCCATGAGGAGCCGTCGGGGACCTGGTCATAGTGTGGATCTTGTACCCGGTGGAACCTGGGCTCATAACCAACCCCTCCTGAAGACATTGGGACCTGGACTCTGTGCTCGCTGCAAAGACAAACACAGACGATTCCAACAAAAATAAATGTTTTCATGGGTTATAATGACGTTGTACTCATTGTCTAACGTCATTGCTGCTGAGATAAAGGAAAAAGGAAACAGAGACGGACTTGGGAGCAGCTGAAATAGGGTCTGGGGGCAGCTACCCATTCCCCAGCGGTGCAAACGAGGAGAAGGAAGATGTCTCAATCATTCTCACACCTCTTGCTATTATTATATATATATTATTGTCAAATTCTCTGTTTTCATGTGCAGCAGGCAGCAGTTCTTTCCTTTTCTGACCAATCAGTCAGGAGACAACGGCCCTCAAAGTTGACCCAAATCGGAGTGACACCCCACTGTAAGTCACAAATATCTTCTTTAATAGGAACTGTGATAGAACTGTTGGCTAACAAAGTTATGCTGTTAGTAAAGGGGCTGTTAGTAAAGGGGCTGTTAGTAAAGAGGTTGTTAGTAAAGGGGCTGTTAGTAAAGGGGCTGTTAGTAAAGGGGCTGTTAGTAAAGGGGTTGTTAGTAAAGGGGCTGTTAGTAAAGAGGTTGTTAGTAAAGAGGTTGTTAGTAAAGGGGTTGTTAGTAAAGAGGCTTTCTGTCTGTGTGACCTGGGCCACTGTAAACAGGTGAATGTTAAATTAGAAATAAAAAACATCACAGTGACGTGTACAACGTACACATACATTGATTGACGTTGACGCACTAAAATGTGTATTCCTGTCATGGAAAGAGAAAATGAGAACAGTCCATATGGGGACCTGACTCACCTGATGATTCTCGGTCTTGTTCCGCAGTGAGCAGTGTGGAAACATACCTTCGTTCTTAACACTCTCACACTGACCCCAGGTCAGACCTCGCTGTGAGCACCGCCTTAAGGAAGGTTAAATAACAGGAAGGGAAACCGATCCCAGATCCCGCCCCCGGTGAAACTCACCTGGCCAGTCCGACCTGTGTCACGATGCATTCAATTGTCTCCTCTCTCGTCAGACTTCTCACACTCCAAACTTACAGCAAGATTCGCTCATTAAATTAAAGTGTTTTTTCTGTAAGGTATACAGTGAAATGTGTTACTGTTTAGGTGTGTTTAATGCAATTTATTTGTGAATAGTTAATTTGACTGTATAGCAGTTAATGGAAAAATACACACAATGGCATTTAAAAGGGAATAAAGATGATAAAATTATTTCGTCAAAGTTTCCTTGGTCCATAAGCACAGAAGCTATGATCAAATTCTACTGTGGCTTTCAGGAGAAACTCCATCACAAGTAAGTTTTCGTTAGCAAGATGGAGTTTTGGGACGAAGCAACAGACCTTAGGACACAGAGGTAAACAGAGCATGAATCTACATGCAAATAGTCAATGTGAAAGAAAGCCCTTTTGGTATTTTAATGATGTTACATACAGACATATAAATACTGGGTAGTATACTTAAGTAAAATGATCGAAACTACAGAGTAAAATACTCAAGTAAAAGTAAAGCATTTACAAATATTACCCAAGTAAAAAGCAGAAGACATCTTTTATAATCCCTGTGGGGAAATTATTCTCTGCACTTAACCCATCCAGTGTGCCGTAAAGGTTCCCAGGGAGCAGCTGGGGGTTCGGTGTCTTGCTCAGGGACACTTTGTCTACGGGACAAGTAGCAGCCATGTTTCAAACCGCCAACCCTGTGGTGACCAGTGCACCCTCTCTGCTACACGCGTGTTAGGTCCCTATCTTCCCATCAGTTCCCCCCCTGTCTGTGCTTCTATTTTGCTGTTTTTGTCAAGTTTCCAACCCTGTGTTCTGCCTCCGGTCCCGGCCCTCTCCCTACCGCTCAGCTGTGGCTCATTGCGGGGGCCACCATAGAGGCTCGTCGTCAGTCCGTCCCAGTACCCAGGCTGGTCTCAGGTGCCGTTGAATGTCGCTATCAGATGTAGCTAACCAGTTTGCGTGTTTTTGCTTTTTGTCCTGCAGTATCAGACCCACAGAGTACCACGGGGTACACGTGACTCGTTTTGATCGGACTCTGGTTATGGTGTCTGGCCTCGGGTTTCCACACCAGAACCCTGCTTTATCCGCCCCAGACGTCGGGTTCCCCTCCCGACTCCAGTTGAGCCCGAGGAGCGCTTTCTGTTCCCCTTTTCACTATGGGTGTCTATATTTTTTTTGTTCACTTCCCAGGTTGTATGGGAAATAAAATCATTGGCTTCAAATCAAACTGCTGTGCGTGTGCATTTGGGGCCACCAACTACACCCCCTAACAGGGCGCCCCCTAACGGTGCACACTATTGTGACCCGTTGTTCATCCCTTGAATGTTGCAGCTGCCAAGTGTGTTTTATTCTGTCAGTACGCCGACGTTCTTCTGTTGAGGCTTTTTGCTTTTGTTAAAACACCCCGTGCTTTTGTTGCAAACATTTTAATGAATTTGGAAAACATCTCTCTGCTTGTCGGACAATCGTTTTCTTCACATTGATTTAGTTCAGTGAAGTCCATGTTTTTACGTAATTTAAATCTTGGGATTGTGTTTTTCACAATCCATTCATGCCAGTTAATTTAACACATAGCTCAAAATAACCAAATCTCTGTACACGGTCTTTACCTTCTGCCGCATAATCTCAGTCGTATTTTTTCCCCAAAAGTTTTCCCTTAAGAAAGTTAAGGTGGTTTGTGGTTTCCATCACCGATTGTTGCTGTGTGTCTAAACCCGTTTACAGTTTTTTTTTTTTTAGATCTGTTAGTGGATGTCATAACATAACATACATTCCAGCAATTATGAGCTCATTTTTCTAAATTAAAGACCATTTCTTTCTTTATTATTTCAGGACTCCTTTCGGTTAATAGAAAAACTACGTTCTGTTTTTACGACTTATTGTCACAGTACCACGGAACCAACCCGATTTCTGTTTTTACGGCTAACAGAACCTCCCGATTCCTGTTTGTTTAGGACCCTTGGTCAAAGTCAGATAATCTGTCCATGCATGGACTTAAAACACTTAAAACGCTTAAAACACAACCTGAGTGTTTCCCTTAAGCGACCAAAGACTGTTCAAAAGCTTAATTGCCTGTAATGAAGAAAAACACCAGTCCGGTTTCGCTAGTAAAACGGATCTCGTCACTCCTGGCCTCACAAAACCAAACTAATCCTGTAAGGGATGAGGGCAGAGGGCTCCCCGTGCAGTGGCCAAACCTTGAGAGGAAAAAGAGTTCTTGACATCCGGCTCGAAGGACCAATTATGTTAGAAAAGGAGAAGACGCGTCTGCCACTGAACTTCTGAGCTGTAAAATACTTTTGTTGTATTACAGGATGTGTAGCCCCTGAATCTACCAAAAGTGGTAAAGTTTCCCTTGAACTCGCACCACAGTGGTGGGCATATTTTCAAATGATTTTCCTGAAAACTGAGACATTGTGGTCGTAAAGCACAATAATTCTTCAGCCATTTTGTTTCTCTACATTCACATTATTCCATCCAAAACATTTTGATTCATCTCATATGTCTCATCACATCCACCATGGGTCCCTCGGGAAGATTTGTTCCCTTTATATTTTTACCTTATGCACCATGGCATTCCTTCGGCGTCGTATAAAATATAGTCGGCACTATAAGTCCTTTTTTCACTCCTTTTTACAAATCCTCGAATATACGTGCTTTCAGACTTTTATTACAATATGATACTGTGCCGTGTTTCAAACCATATATTGACCTCTTGGTCAAGGCCACGATTATGCGATTTGCGATTGTTGAATCTAAATACATTACATTACATGTCATTTTTATTACATTACATGTCATTTTTATTACATTACATGTCATTTAGCTGACGCTTTTATCCAAAGCGACGTACAATAAGTGCATTCAACCATATGGTACAAACTCAGGAGAACAAGAAACAAGAAAGTGCAATTTCCTCAAATAAGCCAATTTACAATTTGCTATAGATGAGTGACGTTACAAGTCTAATTTAAGTGCTACACTTGTTAGTCTTTAGTCGAGGTAGAGTCTGAAGAGGTGTGTCTTTAGTTTGCGGCGGAAGATGTGAAGGCTCTCTGCGGTCCTGGTGTCTTCAGAGAGCTCGTTCCACCATTTCGGCGCAAGGACAGCAAAGAGTCGAGACCTAGTCGAGTGTTTTGCTCTCAGTGAGGGAGGGACGAGTAGTTTTGAATACAATTATTTGCAAATCGATCCTGTCTTCCTCAGTAAAAATACTTGAATTCATACACATTTTTCAGGCCAAGGACCCCCAAACTGATGGCGAGATGGAGCAGGGACCCCCTATTCTATGTTGGGTGCGCCATCTTTTATTTGTGAGCTTGGGGCTCTTTAGACGCGAGCGTGAATGGATCTGACTGGCTGGTGCCTGTGATGTCGTATCAGCATGAGAGGAGCTGTGAGTGAACTAGTGATGGGAAGTTCGGATCATTTTACCGACTCGGAATCTCGTTCAGTAAAATGAACGAATCTTTTCATTCGTTCATTTCGGGGGGGGGGTGGTAAGATAAATTCCTGCATTAAAATAACGTATCATGACAGTCTGGATGATTTGAAGTGATCCTTTATTTTCACACTAGCATTCAATTATCACGGCATAACTATTACGATGAAGTAAAGTACAAAAAAGTTCTGTCTGTAAACCTGTAATTATTACTTGTGAAGGAATATCTTTCACGTCTTACTAAACCGAGCCACGCGAAAGTGAACGAGGTAAACAAACCCTTTGTTTCCTCTTCTGAGTGCAGGTCACATGAAAAATGATCTAAAGATCTGTATCCGGCAGATGAACGATGTTACATGTACTATGTCTTACATGTACATGAAAATGGAGTTTGTGTGCTTTAAAGACAAACTGTTACTGAAGTGTTTCACGGCTCGGCTAGTTTTGGAGCTGCTAACACAACAGGTTTCCCAGGAACCTGCTGGAAGGTTTTCCACCACACCAACCCTCCCAGGCCTCCACGTTGCCGCGTGGGCTGCCCCCAGCAACCGGTCCTTGGGGAACCACCTGCAGCACAGGGGACACTATTGGGTACGCTTGGCCCCACTGGGAGGGCCTTGCAGGTCTGACATATTTATCGACATGGCTGCTCACCTCAACCAGCTACATTAAACCGGTCTGCCGGTTAATCACAAACTAACCAGTTTGAGCTTGCTGGCCCACCAGTTAAAGCCAGCGCAAGGTGAATGTGGATCCAGGTCCTACAGCGGCGTGTGGAGCTTCACAGGGAAGGACATTTAACGACATGAGGAAACATTTACTGCCATGACGTGTCAGCGTATGACATCACATGATATGACGTATTGTTTGTGCTTCTCTCTGGTCCATCCATGATGTGTGTGTGACCGGGGCAACTGGCCGCAATGAGACAACGCCACTCTGGGACTTACCACATATAAATATTAGGTTAGATGGATTGATTGATTGATTGATACTTTATTGATCCCTCACGAGGGAAATTTTGGTATCACAGTACAGGGAAGAAAATGGAATAAAAAGATACACATTATATACAATATAATAAGATAGAAATATTAAATTATTAAATTAAATTAAATTAAATAAACTAAAACTGAAACAAAAGAATAACCTTCCAAAAGAGACAATAATAATAATAATTTGTAAAAGGAGAAGAGGAAGAGCCGCAACATCACAGCAGTACAGGTTCTCATTTGGTTTAAGAAAGGGAGCAGAGATGAATTTCTAGTTTCTTTGGAACAGTGTCCAGTTTTATTTATGGATAGGCTTCCTGTCTGTTAACAGTCTTGATTTAAAAATAGGGCTTTTATTACAAAAAATATCTTCTATGCAAAAAATTGATGTTGTTACACTGAGGTGGTTTACCAGCACAAGGTCAAGTCAAGTCAAGTCATTTTATTTTGTATAGCCCAGAATCGCAAATTACAAATTTGCCTCAGAGGGCTTTACAGTCTGTAAACATACAACATCCTCTGCCCCGAAACCCACCATCGGCACAGGAAAAACTCCCCAAAAAATGAAAAAACCCTTACAAGAGGGAAAAAAGGGAAGAAACCTTAGGGAGAACGTCAGAGGAGGGATCCCACTCCCGGGATGGACAGACTACAATGGATGCCATGTGTACAGAATGAACAATGTATAATACATGCAATTCCTATGACAGAAATGATGACTATCAGGGAGGCCTAAAGGAGCGGGGGAGTGAAGGGGGAAGGGGCCACCACCAGGGACCGGAAAGGAAAAGTCACACACACACGCACTGCAAAACACACAACAAATATAAAACATGCCAGATAAACTATGAATGAGGAAGCCCTCCACCTGTGAACCACGACCTTTAGACCGATGATCAGCCCACCTGTACTGTTTACGAAGGAAAAGGAACAGAAACTACTGAACAGCAACTTGTCTGGAGAGAAAACAAACTAACAATGCATAATCAAAAAATTAACCATAAATACAAAATATATTTGCAAAAGGGGCAAAAACAGCAGTGGCAAGAGCTCAGTTACCACCAAAAGCAGACGTCACTTCCCCTTTCCTATTACAAAAAAAAGAAGCACATGTCATACACAATTTAAAAGTCCTCTGAACATCGTGGCACCGCTATGGAGCATATTTAAACAAAACTAATAAAAACCCAGCTAAAAACAGGCATGGGAATTGCACACTGTACGACACACATGGCGAGCGCTGCGTGGATGGGGTGGGACCTCTAGGACTGGTCCCCTTTAGCGCTCAGTCCTGCACCTTGACGTACCTTGTGTGTGGCCAAACAGGTAGAGGGAGGGGAAGCTCCACCCGTCACATGTGCATGTATAGAGAGAAGCGCCCCCCCCCCTGGGAGACACCCAGACCCGATCCCAATCTCCCCCTGACGCCAACTCCGTGAGGTTCATTCATCGTGTGCCCTCCGCAGGAGGTCAGCGCCCTCGGAGAGAACGGCGAGGGCGCCGACCTGGACACGTGGGCGGTGCAGTGCGACGGCGACCACTGGGAGCACGGTGGGGACGTGCGCTTCAGGCAGACGTTTGAATCATTTCTGTAGACGCTGACTTTTTCAAAGGAAATTACTCACAAGTAATTGCGATGTGACGTTAAAAACAAACGGGACAACCAGTGAAAGCGTGGAGCCATAAAAAAACAAGGGACGGCACATTTGTTTTCACACTGTCATATTAAAACGTATACATTTTAAACATGGAGGGAAAAAAAAACTCAACATTTACTTCATAAAATATTTAATTTTAATTTAATTTAATTTAGAATTACCTCTCATCTCATGAGTAAAGATCCTGGAAGCCAGAACTGGAATTAAACATGTGAAATAAACGCCGTCCGCCGAGGCCCTGAGGCCCAGCCTCCGGGGGCACCGTGGGGGGGCTTCGGGGTTGGGCCCCAGATACAAAGCAGACACCCAGGTGAAGGAAACGGACGTCAAATGAGAGACGTGCGATGCGACCAACCAGAAGCGTCCCTGGTCACACGCGCACACCTGCAGCGACCTATCGCGTGTGGACATGTGCTTCCGCGTTTGCAGCACTTGTCAAGCTGTGATTGGCTGCCGCCAGCGGCCGCGCGCGCGCGCAGACCGGCGCCGCTTCCTGTAACCGCGCCGGCGAGCAGCGAGCGGAGGCACGAAGATGGAGATAACTGGCGCCGCCCGCCTTGTTTTCAGGTCCCTGGTGGTCCTGCTGCTGTGGTCACAATGTGAAGCGGGGGAGTCGGAGCTGAACCACGTGACCTGCGGCTCGCTGGTCAAGCTGCTGAACACCAGACACAACGTCCGGCTGCACTCGCACGATGTCAAGTACGGCTCAGGTAACACACACACACACACACACACGCAGAGGCCGCTGCAGCTGCTCGGTGTGAAACGCGCACGTGCTGCGGCTGCAGGGGGAGTCCGGTGATTGACAGGTGAACAGACGCGCTCGCGTCTTCTGCGTGCCGGTTCAGGGGAACCGGAAGTGGTCCTTCCCGTCGATGGGAGTTTGGTACCCGACACAATGTGTTTGATGTTCCTCCTCTCTGCGGCCCAACGCGCCCCCGACCCGCTCAACGGGCTTCAGGCGGCGTGGTGGCGGCGGCGGCCAGGTCACGTGACCAGCGGGGGTCTTCTCCTGTGGTCCCATCAGGTCCCTTGAACCAGCAGCCCCCCCCTCACTCCCCCATCTCACAGCAGGTGGCCCAAGCAAGTCTCCTCTTCTCCTCCCGTCCTGGATTCACCGCCCTTCCTGTCTTAAAGTAACGCTGGGCTGTCCGCTGACCCCCGAGTGGTTCTTTCCATAATCTGGATTAGAACGGCAGCGGAATAGACCTGATCACTGAATAGAACAAGCTGCTGGTCTCAAACTTTAAGAAGAATTAACTCTTGACGAGGAACGCCAGTTAGTGGAGAACCATCCCAGTTCGACAAACCACTGCGTCTTCGTTTTCCCCTAGAGACCCTTCACAATAAAAGCCCTGAGCTTAATGTTTTCAGCGGAAGATCTGTTTGGTCAACTGGTTACACAAAGAAGACTTTGTGTTCCATCGCTTGATTGAAACAAATTCTCAGTTGAAGTTCTTCTGACGTGTGTGTGTGTGTGTGTGTGTGTGTGTGTGTGTAGGCAGCGGGCAGCAGTCTGTAACTGGAGTGGAGAACGCAGACGACGCCAACAGTTACTGGCAGATCCGTGGGAAGCCCAACCGTCCGTGTCAGCGCGGGACGTCCATCAGGTGTGGTCAGGCCATCCGCATCATGCACATGAAGACCAGCCGCAACCTGCACACGCACCGCTTCAGCTCGCCGCTGTCTAACAACCAGGTGAGGCGCCGGGAGACGCGCGCGGCCGGGTGTCCGTAAGGGTTTCATTCATCGTGGTCGGTTGTGCGCCCCTCTGCAGGAGGTCAGCGCCTTCGGGGAGAACGGCGAGGGCGACGACCTGGACACGTGGACGGTGCAGTGCGACGGCGACCACTGGGAGCGCGACGAGGACGTGCGCTTCAAGCACGTGGGCACCGACGTGTTCCTGAGCGTGACCGGCGAGCAGTACGGCCACCCCATCCGCGGCCAGCGGGAGGTGCACGGCATGAGCTCCGCCAACCAGCACAACTGGTGGCGCTCCATGGAGGGCGTCTTCATCCAGCCCAGCCAGGCGCCGCTGCGCCACGACGAGCTGTGACGCGCTCGCTGGGAGGCGGGTTCCTGCCCGGGGGCTGCCTGTCGCTCAGCTCTTTGACCAAACCACGCCGTGTTTGGAGGACGTAGGATATCCGACTCCTCTGTGCACACGTGAAACACTGATTTAGTTATTTTATGAGCGCAATGGTTACATATGTGGTCATTGAGTTTTCTCCTTTTGAGAATTACGTGAGGGAGAGAATATTTATTGTGAGAAAATATGATAAATTCCCTGTTATAATTTCTATTTTCACTATTGAAACATGCTTGACGGCGTCGTGTTCGTCTCGGTCATCATGCAGCTTCTCTTGGTTTAAGTCTTTGCATTGAGGTGTTCTCACAATCAGGTGGTATAATATATATTCTAAATAAACGGATCCTTGTGTTGCTCTGCAGCCTTTAGGAAGTCAAACCTATTCCAGTCTTTAAGCCTGTTTCTTTGTCAAGTCGTAAAATGAAGAGTCAAAGTAGAACTAATCCCAGGACCAGCAGCACCGTGGACCGGACCGTCCCGCGGGCTCTGACTGCTGCCGAACAGCTGGACGCATCGGCCAATCAAAACGCGAGGATAGGAAGCGTCGGCTGCTTCTAGAACATATTGGCTGTTCTGTTATTGAGTGATTGGAGACGTGTTGTGATTGACCGGAGGTGTGAGTGCAGAAATAAACCCACGGAGTCATCTGGACACGCCCACTTTGACTTATCATTCATAGATCGCACAATGGGTTTGTGACGCCTTGGGAAGCCACTTGGACTCTTCCAGACCGCCACAGGTTGTGAAATCTAAAATGTACCGTCTCACACCAACATCTACTCCTTTTGTCAATAATCTGGCTTCATAAAATGTATTTGCCAATAATTTGGACATCGTTATAAAGGCGTTGACATGTTACCCCACAGAGTGGGTTCAATACCTGTAAAGCAAACCAGCGGAAATAAGAGCTCGGACTCGCACGTCGTCCTCTAACGCTTCTGATGGTAGACCACCAACCTCGCTGCCCGTTGTCATGGAAACAGACCAACGTCCCCAGCAGGCAACACGCGTTCTACAGATGTGCTTTTTGCTTTTGATTTATAATTTACAAAAACATTTACAGCTAATTGATAAAAACGTGTCAGTCCAGCAGGTGGCGACAAACAACCACAAATACACTAATTCGGTCCCATCGGGCTCAGGTGAGCTGGTCCTGATTAATTGATACTGACTGCTGGTACAAGACGGCTCGGCAGAATGTTCATTTATTCTCGTAACTGTAGAATAAAATGAATAAGAACAACAGAATAAGACATTAAATTGACAACCGAAAGCTGTGAAAATGAATCGTACCATTAGTGAAAATCTAAATACTGCAATAATGAGTCTGCCAAAGCGTCTGTGGAAACCGTGATGCTGAAGTAGAGATGAGGTTCCATCTGTGTGGTCTTTGTCCCAGGGGGGTACATCATACAGTTAATGGGTAGAACATATTGTAACATGTACTGCTCTGTTTAAATGAAATAACATGGGAACGGCCACCGTGTGACCGAAACACTTCTCAGGGAAACGTACGGAGAATCTTCTCATCACAGGAACTCGAGTAGAAAATGAACCCGTCAATGAAATTACAGAGAAAAAGAGTATATGGAGATAAAAACCATAGATTTTAACAAAGAAAACCATGATCGTTATTTTAGCTTTCAGCAAACCAATGAAACCTCAAAGCTTAAAAGGTTTCACACGTGTTTATCAGGTTTATTCAGTCCTGCAAAATATTGAACTGGATTATTGGTGAAAACATGGAAACCGCATCGCTGCAGGGATTTAAGCAGCGGAGCAGGTGGTAGAAAGTATGATACACGTAGTAATGTTTAGTGTCAGAATGTGTGATGTCATTACATCAGCATGTTAGATGAAGCCAATGCAATATGAATCAAACACTTTCACAGAGTTTTTCTAGTAGATGAGCAGAGGACGTGAGACAGACCTGCAGGGCAAACGTTGGTCCTTGTAGAAGTGAGTTAAACGCGATGGTTAAGATGTGATGTTATTCCACATGCTATGTTGTGTTTACATGAGGAGGCTTTAAGCTGTGATCATTGAATGTTCTGCAGTATTTAGTGAACAGGGTCGGTTTCAGATTCCACCATCAGATTGACCGTTGACGAGGGAGGAGCGTAGCCTGAGCGTGCAGCACGAGGGACTCTGTCAGAGCCGAGCCAATATTGATGGTCATGGACGAGGGGACTTATAATATTATACTATCCATCATTTATTTCATTTTAATGGTATTGCTTATTACTTGTTAACTATTAAATTCTTTATCATTTCTAAACTCGAGCTAGTTGACTTTTTATGACTTACAGTAGTTGGGCAGAGTTCAGAACGCCACACGGGCCGCTGCTCCCTTTCTCCTCCAGCAGGGGGCGACACGCTGCCGTAGAAGACCAGCAGCAGAAGAGGAGGATGTAAATGACCATCATCATCATCATATTCTTCCCCACGCTGCATCCTCAGCGTCCCCGGGGGTCTGAGGTCCGAGCCCAGGACCAGCACCGGCACGCGGACCAGGACCAGGATCGTCTGCTGCTCCTGCATTCCGCCTCCACTAACTAACATCACAGCACTCCATTGACCTTCTACCCATTCATCCTATTTCTCCAATTCAATCTGGCATTTAGGAGATTAGTCATTTTGAACGAGCAGAAAGTTGCACAGTAAGAACATTTTGGTCAGAGTGTAAATATTGATTTATTTATTGCTTTATCTGCCGCTCACAGATCGGATTCCTTCACTTACAACATTTGCAGGGTTTTGAAGGGATGTGCGCCACAAACGCACCTTTCCCAAAAGAAATGAATCGAATGCGACAGAAAGCGTCACAGGAAGTCTTCCGTCCTCCCCCCCGGGTCAGGGGTCGCGGGGGTTGGGGGTTGGGAGGGTCCCCGCAGGCAGAGCAGAGGAAATGTAAATGTGACCACCCAGCTCTGAGGGGTGTGCTGCCTCCCATCTGTTTCTGCTGCTCTGCACTGACTCAGGATCAGTCGCCACCTGCTCCTTTTACTCTTATACCCAAAGACTCCTTCCTCTGGACGTCGTACAGTCACTTCCCATCGCTTAGTCGTGCTGTTCGGTCCGCCCCCTCCCGTGGATGTGAATGTGAAAACCACATTGCGTTAATAATCCACAGGAGTTTTCATCCCATCTGCCCCCCTGAGTCTGGCGGGACAATGTGACGGACCTTTAGTGTTGGTTCTTTCTGGATCTATGCAGTTTCGTCCTAGTTTTCACTTCTATACTCTTTATTTTCTATGCCTTGTTTCCGGACTGCCCAGCACACTCCAGGGATTAGAGGAATCGGACTTCACCTACTCGGTGCTCGATTCATTTATTAGTGTGGCGGCCCTTTCTGACCGGCTCCATCCTCACACCCCATTAGCGCCAAATAAAAAAAACACAAATACCGCGTCTGCATTTTTCTTTATTGAAGTCAAAGCGTGCGTTAGCAAAAGGGGCTGCGGTGCCTTGCTCAGAGGCAGGGCGAAGGCCCAGCTGACCGATGCCCTTTCATTATTGCACTGCTTGCTGCAGCTCCCACAGTAGTGCAACAGGGAAAGAGTGTCGAGCAGAGGGCCTCTATTCCACATCGGGCCCAACCGTCCGGCTCATGTCACATGTCATTCTGTCATCATAACCGCCTGTACACGCGTGTCCTGAAACCCTCACATCGCTCTAAGCGTTTTGCTCTGAGACTCCGCTACAACACTACAACTCACATCACACGTCGCATCGGTGAGCTCTGCAGCAGGGTGAAGCTCAACGTCACGAGAAGACACGGCCAGCAGCGCCGGCTGGGCCCGGGGAGCCTCCCTCACAGGCAAGACCCTATAAGCAATATTGCACTACTCTGTTGACTCAAGTGAAAGCAGAGGCAACATTGATAGGGTCTCATCTGCGAGGGCACGTGGACCAGGCCGAGCTCGCGGGACCACAGGAGACACGGGGACCTGGGGACACAGGGGAGGGAAGAGGACGGACACGTGAGCATCCAGAGGTGCGTTTCCTTCCCCGCGCAGGGAGCGAGACATGCTGCTCCCGTGTGGCCCAAACGCGCACCATCACAACCCGGGAGTTCAGCCAAAACGGGCCGCCGACTTCATCACCTGAACGTTTACATGAGACCGGCCGGGAGACGCCACGTGGGTCTGTGTCTGTTGACAAAACGAAGGACTAGTGTCACCGAGGGGGCCAGAAGGTGATGGAGTACATACATCGTCATAGGAGGCTCTAGTGGGTTTGGGCCGATGGTCCATGAGGTCTGTGTGCATGAAGATGCTCTCTCACACACACACACACACACACACACACACACACTCTGGTGGAGCTCATCCATCAGCAGCACATTTATACATGAGGACACTTCAAATGACGCGTGTTTGCAGAATGAAATGTCTCATTCACACACTGATCACTGATCTCATTGTCACTGTGACGGCTGTGTGGTAAATCCTGGTTCCTGATTGGCTACCGTCGCCCTGAGCATCACGTGACTGGAAGCAGGCAGATCGATAAACGCACTCCCACTCAGACCAGAGGAGGCCTGAACTCCCCAAACCTGCACAGTTTAAACAATACGGGAAAACGCACAGAATACATTTGTATTGTGTGACTCCGAATGTCATAGAAATATGTAAAATACCCATTTCTGTTCTACGAATACTTCCTCACCTTTACTACCACGCAGGCAGACACTCCATCCGTCGCCTGACGGAGCGGATCTGTAAGTGTCTGCCGGTCACCAGGACGGAGGAAACACTCGTGTTAAACTCGCAGAGCTTCGGGGCGCCGGCCATTATTTCCACTGTGACCCTCATCAGAGCCGACGCACGGAACACGTTCCGCCGCGCTTTGCTCTCTTGGTAATGGTCAGGGGCCCCGGCACATGGCTTTGATGTGCTCCGTCACCACTCCGGGGGAGTAGCGGGATCCTCTGCGGCTCAAGCCCAGAGTTGCACTCAAACGTCACACATCCGCTCCGCGGCGCGTCCACCGCTCCGCCTTTCATCCCTAGAAACTGTAGAATTTAGAGTTTTGAGGCGGCGATTACGGCAACATGAACGCCGGCGGTATCTCGCACACGCTGCCGGTTTCTTACTGGATGGAATTCATGCGTGTGGAAAAATGCGTTTTTTTCCCAAAGCTCTTGGTAATGAGCAATGCATTGTGGGACGCATTACCGCTGGGACCTTATAATATACCAGAACATTCTGTCCCCAAAGTGGGAGTGTCAATGTTCTTCGTCATGCGGTTGGTGCACGGGACGCTTTTCACTTTGATTCATCGGCAAAATATGATCTTTAATCATCTTTTGTCCATTGGAGAAAAATAGTCTAGTGAAACTTAAGACTATTTTAAAATAATGAATTGAATATGAAATATTTTGTAAAGTCTGACTAATTAGCTGAGCTCTGATTCAGATCTGGTAATCACACTATTTGACATTTACACTATTCCTCCGTAATAACGAGCATTTAAAAATGCCACCGGTGTTCCTGCTGTACGCGTTGCAGCAGGACAACGGGGCTATTGAAGGAGGCGCGAGCAGCGGGTGTTGCCGTTGAGGAGGACGTCCTGCTCGGGGACGGTTGCTGCGCTCCGGGGCTCCAGCCGGCGCCTCAGGAGACGCGTTAATGGCGTCTGTGTCTCTGCACCACAGTCCCTCCTCCCTGTAGACCCGGTGTGCTCTGGTATTTGCCTGCCAGCGGACTGACAAAGGCAAGCCTTCACACGCCGCTCATCCGCCCCGTGCTCCAGCGCGTCGATATCAGGCCCCGGTCACCTGATGGAGGCGCCGGATGGAGGCTCCGGTGTGCATGTGAAATAACAAAGGCCCGCCCCAAGCTCCAGGGTTCAAGGAGCCAGAGCCGCGGCGCCGCGCGTCGGGCCCAACGACTTCCCCGAACGGTTACATTATTAAGTACAGCCTCTCGCACCCCATTGCTTAATTAGAATACGGGTAGATGAAATGCAGCGCTCTGATTGGTTGAGAGGGAGTCACAGGGTTTGCGTTATTCAGTGATAACGTACAGCTGCTGTTCACGTTGACCCGAGCGTTCAGTACCACTGCTCACTCACAGTAACCGTTAGATTTATCGTGACCTTTTTAGCTTTTAGCTCGGTGCCGATCGCCGAAAAAAACCAGAAAACAACACAAATGGTGGGTCTGGTGGGTCTGGCGGGTCTGGTGGGTTTGGTGGGTCTGTGGGTCTGGCGGGTTTGGTGGGTCTGGGGCAATGACAACTTTCAGACAATGAAAACTTTTTCGGACAATTAAGTGAACGTCATGAGCGATGTGAATGAATGAGATGCTGCGGCATCCGACGCCGTTTACGTGCACGTACGATTTGTTCTCTAGACGACTGAAATGAGACACGCGTTTGGTGGCTACAGCTATTTTGTGCTGACAGGCAGCGATTTACTTACTATTTATAATAGTAACCGTGTTATAAAAGTGATAAAAAGGTACTTGAGGCAGTACTTTATCTTCAATAACGTAACAGTTGGAGGGTTGCTAACAACAACCCCGAACTGTTACATTATTGGGCGATAAAGTACATCTCTCACACCTTATTGCTTTAGTATACATCAGTAAATATACAACTTATTTAAAAAGAAGCCCCTCCTCTTACGTCACACGCCGCTCAGGACACACAACAACAAATTCCTCAGTCGCTTGCAAAACAGTGGCTAAATTTGACGCTACAGGCCCCAGTGCTCCAAGGCGTGACACACACACACACACACACACACACACGCACACACGCACAAACCCCCAGAGCGGCCCTGCCCTCCACATTCCTCACGAGGAGCCCCATCCCCCCCTACGACCTGCCTCAAATAGGAAACTTACCCAATTCTCCCACCCACACTGTGACTCTTCAAGCCTGCACACTCAAATTATGCTTTCAAAAGCCGACTGGGAGAAAAAGAAAAAAGCGCCCTAAGCTGTGTGTGTGTGTGTGCACACACACACACACACACACACACACACACACACACACACACACACACACACAACACGATGACTGGAGCGTTAACCTATAGGCTCACACGTTGCTTTACAGGAAAGTCTCATACACATTTTATCCTGGAAAATAACATATGGTCACCAATAAAATATTTATATGCAATAAACCAGAAGCTTTTACACACTTAAAACCAAACTGTATTCTAAAGTAGACTTTTTAATAACAGCATGTGTTTGTTTTTTTGTTTCTATCACATAAAACTGTATTTTTTGTTTTTTTACCCAGGATGGTTTATATCTTTAAAAGCAGTTCTTTTCTGATAATTAATCCGGAATAGCAAACATAAGGAGCTGCGTAGCATTTTATTCATATGTATAGAATAAAACTAATTATTTATTCATATAATATGTATTGAAAAATACGGAGCATTTTTTCTGATTTTATACTGTACATTTCCACCGCAGTAAAATGGATGTTCGATTAAAAAAAACTAAAAAATGGGGTTCCACTTTGATTGTGTCTCCACTGCCCCCGACGGAGATAAAGGCCGTGTTACGCTGGAGCCCCCGAGCCGGCATTCAAACGAGCGGCCGCGTGACCTCCCTCTGCCGGGGTCTGCAGTGCACGCCGCCGCGGCCTCTGCAGCGCCCGGACAGAATGTTCTTTTTCCAGGAGGCGTGGCCCGTGAGGCCCGGACCTCGGCGGGTAAAACGCAGCCTAATAATGCAGCCTGTTTGAATAGAAAAGCCACAGACTCTTCCTGTCATGGGGACCCCCGGGCTCCACCACGGCTTCCCAAATCACAGACTGGGGACCTCCAGCGGTCCTTGAGGGAGTTTACAAAACAAATTAGGCTTTGCTTTTTTTATTTTACTCCACTGAAATTGGATTCAAATCCGTAGTTTGGATGGGAACATTTCCTACAAAACGAAAGAAACTGATAGAAGAGTATAAAAGAGAAAAACTTTAAATTGTCTTCAACATAAAGATCACATTGAATTGTTTATACGTGGATCTATGAAATGAAAAAGTGCAAACATGTATTATCTGTGAACAACCCCCCAAAATAAACCACAAATAGCTTTCAAGTTTATTTCTTAGGCCGCTTTGCTGATTATAATATAGATCAAAAATCCACATGTAGCTAAAGACGGTAATTCAACTAAAAGCCCTTAAACGCTGGTTGTTCTAATAATTGACAGACTTCATCTCTCCATTCATGACAACGGTTTTGGATTAAAAAAAGGCCACTGAGTCTAACGCTATGGCCTGTGTCATATGACTGCTGCGTGTGTGCGTGCGTGTGTGTGTGTGTGTCTCTGGGTGGTGTGTGTGTGTGTGTGGGGGTTGGGAGGGAGGAACCTACAGAGGCTCCTTCATGGTTCCTCTCCCCTATCTGCTGCCGTAGTGTCGGCAAAGGCCGAATGCTATGACAATACTATTGCACTGCTTTAGCGGATGGTACAGTAGTGCAACATCGTCAAAGCAGCTGACCTCTGCAAGCTGGGACACACACACACACACTACTAGGCAGTCGTAACACACACATACGCCCTGCACGCTGAGACACACCACGAAAACAAACGGACATAAATCCAAGCTGGACACGGCCACCGCTTTACACGCGGAGCCTTAGAGGCATCAGAGGAGCCCCTCGATTGTCACGTTTAAATAAGATTTGTAAGAAGAGTAGGTTGGGGACGGAGGAGGGGTGGGGGTGGTGGTGGTGGTGGGGAGGGGGAGGCTGTGTTGTCAGCCAATGCCCTTTTAATATTGCACTGCTCATCTGATTTCACAGTAGTACAACAGAAAAAGGGCTTTGGACAACGCGGCGGCTCTTCAGATGTGTCGAGCCTCCATTGAGGCGGCCCCAACGTTACAAAGGTGCAAACGGACAGTGCGGGGCCCACCGGCCCACCGGCCCGCCGGCCCACCGGCAGGGACGCGCTGCGAGCCGCATGCAGAGCAGCAGCCGTGAAGTAACCCAATAGGCTTATTTCATTCCCAACACAATGTAGCCTGTGTGGGAAAACAACGCATATCACGCACGTCCATCTGAAAGGATTCTCCATATGCACCGCTTTGTGAAAATATACAACCGTGTCTGTCGCATTGTTGACGGGGGGGGCGCCGTGCGCTGCGGACGGGCCTCCCCCCCCTGTAGGTTGGTAGCCGTTCCTCTCATCTGCACACATTTAGCAGAATGCCGGGCGCCCCTGCGGGCTGAGCGCCGACGGGCAGCGTCGCTGGAGGAAATGAGGGTGGAGGAACAGATATAGGGCAAAGAGCACATTCCGCGATACAATACCAGAAACCCTCATTTAATACCATACTGTTCCCGTCCCTTTAGCCAAAGTGGCAATTTGAAACCCTCCTGGTTTAGAAAGCCGGGCCGGGGGGCCGGGGGGGTAACGGGGAAGTTTATGAACGGACAAGTGCTCGTTTTCCCCGTCAGAGCAGATAAAAACATGTAGGCTACGGATCCAACGGCTTCAAACTTCTACCAACAAATGCCACCGGACCACCAGGACCGCCCGGCACCGCCCGGCCTTTCACTCTGATAGTCTCTAATGAAAAACGGGCGGCATTAGAGAGGAACACAGGAAGCACTCTGCTGAACAGCGTTAAATAACCGTTACTCTCCCACTACAGCACACAGACACGAGCATCAGCAGATCTGACACTGCACGCTCACATTTAACACAACAAATAGACCCACAGCCGCACGATGACCTGCTGGTTGACGTGGAGCACGTGAGAGAAACCTGCAAGTCAACGTCTACAACCCGAGGCCAACTAACGAGGACCGCCCGAAAGTCCCGCTGCCCCCCGCGGGGGTCCCTGCAGATTAGCTCCTATCATAGTGGCCTACCAGGAATAATCACGTCAATCACTCCCTTCATCACGCGTGCCCTCGCGCTCCTTCTCTCTATCCCGCACGCGCACGCATACACACACACACACACACACACACACAGAGAGAGAATAGCTGCAATACAGTGTTACGGCTACGAGAGCTCGCGGAGACTCGCCCCGGCGGATCAGACCCACCGACATCCCGCTGCGCGGCCCCTCCGGCCCGCGGCAGCAGCAGGGTCTCGTGGCGGGGTGGAGGGCCCCTGGTCGCGGGGTGGAGGGCCGGTACCTGGCGGAGCAGGGCCGGTCCGAGCGGCTCAACGCGCAGGACAGGCACAGCGAGGCGGCGGACCGCCTCGTCCCGGCCTCGGCCGTCTACCTCCCGCAAATACTTCCGTTCCGGACCCGCGGCCGCGGCCCCGCGGGCGTGCCGGCGCCCGGTGATTTAACGGCGTCGGCCCGTTGGCACCTCACGGCCTCCCAGCACCGGACTCCATCTTTGACTAGTTGACATTCAGCTCCTGCCGAGGCACATTTCTTATTTGCATGCCAGCGCGTGATTGGTCGGATCGCCCGCTCGCCTCTGCCCTCATTGGTGGAGAACGTCTCTCATCACGGCCGGGATTGGTCACGTTCCGAAGGGACGTCATCGGGTGGCTTAATTTTAACAATGAACGCAAATGTTCTCTTCCATTCACAAATCCCTCATTATCTGCCTCTGCGGCGCTGCGTGTGACGGAAACGCGAGCGGCGGCGGCGGCGGGGCATCGCGTCCCGGGCACCTCGCCGGAGTCCCGCGTCGCATCCGGTGCGTCCGGGCCGCTCGCGATGCACATGGCGGCGTCACAGAAAGTTCGCTTCGTGTCAGGGTGGTGCCGTGCGGGTGGAGGTGCTGCGCTCGGGCCTCGCGGGGGCGGGTGGGGGGGGGGGCAGCGGCGGCCTGTGAAATCCGGCATTCCTGCCCGATGGAGCTGAAGTAACGGCATTGTCCGGCGGGAGGGAGCCGCTTCCACGGTCCCTTTCTCCCGCCCGCCGGCCGGGGGGCGTCGGCCCCCACGGACCACCTCGCTGTTATAACCGCAGATGCTCGATATTTGTTGGCCAGTTGCAGTGGTTCAATTTATTTCCATTTAGGTCCATAGCCTGCTGTCAGTGGTAGAATGTTAAAACAGTTTGACACCAAAGTGCAGGTGAAATACTGGCCTGACCGTCAGTAACCCTCCTGGACGTCGTGTGATGGTGAAATAAGCCTAACTCGGGGGGAAGCGGTGCACGCTGGGAAGTCCGTCCGTCTTCACTTACTTTGCCCCCGAGTTTTGAGGAGAAACCTGTCGGCTATGACGTGCGTGAGCAGCTATGCACGGAATGCGCGCTCGCGTCCCCCACCGCTTGTGAAAGGCGTGCGCGCGCACCCAGCAGAAAGCGCTATGTCCATATTGAGACTGATCGGGTGGACACGGTCTCCACTCCGGGGACGCGAGGAATACACAAATCAATAGACAGCATCTCTGCGCCGCACGTCCTCGTTGTGACCTGAAGGGACGGATGGATTATCAGAAGAAAATATCAAAATCATTCTTTTTTACATCAAATCTCAGCTGCATCTGTTTCTTAGCATTTGTAAAGACCTCTATAAACAACAACATTTAACAGCAGGAACCATGAAGATAAATGTAATGTGTTGCAAACAATACTTTTCAACTCTTTTAAGGATACTTTAATAGATAATAGATATATTGAGTATATCTTATACATATATTACATGTCATTTAGCTGACGCTTTTATCCAAAGCGACGTACAATAAGTTCAACCATAGGGTACAAACTCAGAAGAACAAGAAACAAGAAAGTGCAATTTCATCAAATAAGCCAATTTATAATTTGCTATAAGTGGCGTAACAAGTACAATTTATGTGCTACATTTTGTTAGTCTGTATATATGTATATATATGTGTGTGTGTGTGTATATATATATATATATATATATATATATATATATATATATATATATATATATTAAATTGGCTGGGTGGACCATAGACATAAACCTTAGGTATGGCCAAGCTTTGTTAACCTCAGCTGAATTACATGTCAGATTGTGCTTTTGCTGGAAGGTGGAATGGTACAAAGATATTCATGATATTTCAGAATTGATGAAACGTTGCATGTAACATTTAAAAACCTGTTGTTTCAAAGTTTATACTTGACATATTGCTCCAGTGAAGTGAAGGAAGAACACAACTCTTTGTCTGTAAAACGGGGAAGTTTATAACGTTAAAACTCATCAAAAACGGGACGCTGTTTGCAGAAACACAGGCAGATAACCTTTTGATAACATTGTCATTTCAGAGGGATCCCTCTTCCCTTACTCGTCCTGAGTTTTCTCCCATTTTTCGATTGTCAAAATGTTTTTGGAAGTGGGACATTTTGGGACAAAAGGACAGAGAGTGATGTTTGCTCAACCGATTGTAAAGCCCCTTGTGGCAAATAGGTGGTTAGATACGTTTATTGAGACACTATCAATTGTCAATTGTATTCATTTGTTTTTTCTCTTTTAATGTGTTTTTTATTTTAGGCTGCCTTAAAAACATCTGGCCGGGGACAGCAGATTAACCTCTGGCTAACTGTGGCTCACTTACAGTACAACTGTTGGTTAGTGTGCATTGTCCCTGCAGAATAAAGGAATAAATAAGAATAACTGTATTAAAACCAGCAGCAAGACTTTTCCCTGAACTTTTAATTACTTTAAGGCATCAATTGATCCACAATGTAAATACGTGAAACTAATTCGGAGTGCGGTGTAATCTGGTTTTAAAACCCCAAATTAAAAATGATACATCTTTTTAAAGTATTTTGCAAGCATTTACTCATTTAATAAGCTTGTGGATTGGAAAAGGGGTTTGTAATCACCTGTTACCACATCACATACTGTCAGATCCGTCCTTGTGATAGTTTTCCATTACCGTGGAGGCAACAGTGTGATTGTGGAGGAGCAACCGTCCCCATATTGACCAACACGTGTCTGCTGGTGAAGGTTTGATCCCCCGACTCCACAGACATAAAGGGGACTTCCAACATGCACCATCAGGAAAAAGGGCCAGCCAAGGAAGTACTTCCTGTGACAGCTCAGGAAGTCCAGCCTGCCCCGGGAGCTGCTGGTCCACTTGCACACTGGAATAATCCATCGCTGGTTTGGATCGACGGACTTCAGTGACTGCAGGCCGAGTCCCTGATGCTGCCGGTGATCCCAGACTTCTGCACCTGCAGAGGGAGGAAAAGGGGCTGTCGCTGCCAACACCCCACTCCCATCACTCTCTGGACCTTTTTGAACTTCTCCCCTTTGGGAGGCACTGCTGAAAACTGTAGGCCAAAACGACAACGGCAGCTTCTTCCCACAGGATGTGACTGTAATGAACGGTCACCATCAGTCGTACACCAGTGACCCTCTAACGCCGACGAAGCCACTGCTGCTGTCTTTAATGCATATTTTTGCACTGGCCTTATAAATCTTCACACTGTACAGAAGACATCTTCTTAGTCATCTAAATGATGTGTTTCCAGTAGTTAAAATAATCCCCATAAGAACAATACAATTTGGGCTGCAGCTTTACAATGAATCAAAAGAAAGAACGATTGGCAGCATAAGGTGCAAAGTATTGACAGACACACAGAAAGACACACACGGTCCAACCTTGTGTGTCGGCGCAGGCAGCGGCAGGTTAATCTTTACTGAACATTGTGCAACAGATCAGAGAGCAGAAGTCTACCTGCTAGCAGCATTGTAAGTGCCCCCTTTTGCACCCGGAACTACACCATGTCCTCAGTCGCCAGCCAGGACATCTGCCATTCATGGACATGTTCCTACACATCCACTTCCTAGACGCATTGACCAAAGACAGAAGATCTCACAGGTCTGTGTGTTTTAAAGATCTGAAGCACAACAAGTAGTTTCCCAAAACTCTCTCAGGCAAATGATGAAAATCACAAAGATAACAATAGTCGTCCATGATGTAAAAAGCTGGTGGAGGAAAACTTGTATTCAATCAGTTTTTATTGCAATTCATAGCCATTTACTGATGAAACATTCTTGTAATCCTTAAATTCTTCTAAATATTTAGTACTTGAAGGGGGTTTCCCAGTCTGCCATGACTTCAGTTCAGTTTAGTCCACTGAATCCAATTGATGACATTTGACACTGATCGAATGGCCCAAATGGTTTTTATTGGTTGGATCTGGCTCTCCTGTCGACACAGAAACACAGCACGTGTTCATTTGGCATTTGTTGTTGGATTAATGAGGTGCTCACGCAGATGTTTAATAAAGGTTTATGTTGTCTACATGTGGGAAACAAAGGTAGATTACTTTTGGCGGCAACATTACAATCTATTTACTTTGGTTGCTCACACCTGCCAGGTGACGGCATGGCTTTAATGACAGGGGTGATTTGCATCTTAATTTGACTGTTGATGAGCGTTACGCATAATCAACAATAGGTTTTAATTCAGGTTGGGAGAAGATATCATATTTCTTTCTTCAAGTAACTTTGAGGCATTTATGGCGTTTCCCGGATTAGTAAACGTTAGCTGATTTCAAAGAGGTGGACAAAACCTGAGGATATCCTAAAGTGACCATAAGTAACTCCTTTTACACTCTCAAACCTGGAATGAACTGGTGAAGGGCAGCATATGAGTCACGTAGTAAGTACCAGTCATCACAGGACCAGATGTACCACTATCACTAGTGGCAGCAGTAGTGTCGGTGGTAGCTGTAGTAATAGGAAAAGTAGTGGTTGCGGTATCGCTAGAAGTAACCGTAGCCGTATCAGTAGTAACAGCAGTATCAGAAGTAGCGATAGCAGTAACAGCAGTATCAGGAGGAGCGATAGCAGTAGCAGCAGTATCAGGAGTAGCTAAGCAGTAGCAGTATCAGGAGTAGCGATAGCAGTAGCAGCAGTATCAGGAGTAGCTAAGCAGTAGCAGTATCAGGAGTAGCGATAGCAGTAGCAGCAGTATCAGGAGTAGCTAAGCAGTAGCAGTATCAGGAGTCGCGATAGCAGTAGCAGCAGTATCAGGAGTAGCGATAGCAGTAGCCGCAGTATCAGGAGTAGCGATAGCAGTAGCAGAAGTATCAGGAGTAGCTAAGCAGTAGCAGCAGTATCAGGAGTAGGGATAGCAGTAACAGCAGTATCAGGAGTAGCGATAGCAGTAGCAGCAGTATCAGGAGTAGCGATAGCAGTAGCAGCAGTATCAGGAGTAGCGATAGCAGTAGCAGCAGTATCAGGAGTAGCGATAGCAGTAAAAGCAGTATCAGGAGTAGCGATAGCAGTAGCAGCAGTATCAGGAGTAGCGATAGCAGTAACAGCAGTATCAGGAGTAGCGATAGCAGTAGCAGCAGTATCAGGAGTAGTGATAGCAGTAACAGCAGTATCAGGAGTAGCGATAGCAGTAGCAGTATTAATAACGGAAGCAGTAACAGTAGGAGGTGCGGTAGCAGTGGTAGCATGCCAACCTACAGTAAAAGTAGCACTTCCACCAGTAAGACAAGTTACAGTAAGCGTTGACAGCAACGTAGTAGCGGCAGTAGCTGAGACAGTAGAAACAGTAGTAGTCAGAGTTGAAGCAGTATTTGTAACAGTAACACCATACGTTAACATCAGCAGTAGCAGTTGGCTTGCATTAGCCTAACATAGTAGAACCAGTAGCAGTACCAGAAGCTGAAGTAGCAATAGTACACCTGATTAACTGCAGTAGTAGTAGTA